CGTTTAAAATTTTTTTATTGACAAAAAAAAAGGGGGAGCCATGACTAAGAAAGGTTTGGGAAACACTGTAATTGACAGTACTTCATTTCTGTACACAAATCATGAAGAAAACCTCTATGTTCTGATTATAATCAATAACCAGCCATGTGCAGCTATGAGACAATAAACAAGCTTTGAGAGTCTCGTGAAAGATGTGCCACAATAAATTACTGTTTTAAAAAAAAAAAAATGTGCAGACAGGAGACCCAAGAAATGGTTCTTCTTATCATAAATTTGTCTTATTCAGATGAGAATTCAAGCAAGAAAAATTACCGGGGATGAACAAATTTGTCTTCACAGAAATTTGCAACATTTGAGACTGCCTCAAGGAGTCTGCACTGCAGTGCGAAAGAATGCACTTAAGTCGAACTCGGATAAGTCAAATTTGGGTTAAGTCGACATGACCAGCTTAGTCCCGGCAATTTTCTCTATTGTGTGTGCTGTCTGGATAAGTAGAAGTCCTGATAAGTGGAAGCATTTTCTTAGGTCCCTGCAACTTCTGCTTATCCAGACGACTGTATATATCTGCATGGCGGGCTACAGAATCCCAAACAAACCATCAGTCAAAAATTACAGGGCAGCATTCATATAATTACATAAGTTGTCTTCCACCCACACATACACCACTAAAGTTGACAGAATCAGTTACTTACACAGGGAAGGTTATATATTAGTCTGTACTCTGTTCATAAGCATCTGGAGACTGTAGAATAGAAAATAAAATTACTATAATCTTTTAGATCTTTCTTGTACCAACCGTTTTTCTTGTAATTATTCTATTATTCAACCAATCATCTTTCAGATCTTTCTTGTACCAACTGTTTTTTGGTGTAATTATTCTATTATTCAACCGATCATCTTTCAGATCTTTCCACCTACTTACAGCCGCACTGATAATGAATGCTGGCAGTTGTGCTTAAATTAACACCTCTCCTTTTTTTGTCCACTCAGTTCTCTTCCTCCTTGCCCACTCAGTAACCTCTCTCTTGCTCACTCAGTAACCTCCCTCTTGCTCACTCAGTAACCTCACTCTTGCTCACTCAGTAACCTCCCTCTTGCTCACTCAGTAACCTCCCTCTTGCTCATTCAGTAACCTCACTCTTGCTCACTCAGTAACCTCACTCTTGCTCACTCAGTAACCTCCCTCTTGCTCACTCAGTAACCTCCCTCTTGCTCACTCAGTAACCTCACTCTTGCTCACTCAGTAACCTCCCTCTTGCTCATTCAGTAACCTCCCTCTTGCTCACTCAGTAACCTCTCTCTTGCCCCCTCAGTAACCTCGCTCTTGCTCACTCAGTAACCTCCCTTTTGCTCACTCAGTAACCTCTCTCTTGCCCCCTCTTGCTCACTCAGCTAACTCTCCCTTTTGCTCACTCAGTAACCTCTCTCTTGCCCCCTCAGTAACCTCGCTCTTGCTCACTCAGTAACCTCCCTCTTGCTCACTCAGTAACCTCCCTCTTGCTCATTCAGTAACCTCCCTCTTGCTCACTCAGTAACCTCCCTCTTGCTCACTCAGTAACCTCCCTCTTGCTCACTCAGTAACCTCCCTCTTGCTCACTCAGTAACCTCCCTCAGTAACCTTCCTCTTGCTCTCTCAGTAACCTCCCTCTTGCTCTCTCAGTAATCTCCATCTTGCTCACTCAGTAACCTCACTCAGTAACCTCACTCAGTAACCTCCCTCTTGCTCACTCAGTAACCTCCCCCTTGCTCACTCAGTAACCCTCCATCTTGCCCACTCAGAAATCTCCCCAGTGCCCAGTGTTCTCCCCCTTGCCCACTCAGTAATCTCCCCCTGGCCCATACCCAATCAGTTCAATTCTCTTCCCCCCTCAGTTCTCTTCCCCCTTGCTCACTCATTAATCTCTTTTGCCGTTACTTCTCTAAAAGCTGGAAAAGTCAACTAATTAGAGTTGTATCCTTCGAAGTACATTAGCATGAGAGGTGAGGAACCAACTGTCACATATAAATGAGTCAGATGTGTAAAACGGATGTGCACAAACAACTAAAGTTCTGGAATAAGACCAAAGTCCAGAAGTGGATGAACAATCAGAACTTTTCGGGGATAGTTTACAGCCGGAGAATGCTTAGAAGAACTAATGTTTCTAGGCATATAAAAATATATGACACTAAGAGTTAAACAGGCTTTTATTTCACGTCGCAGACACTTTGAAAATGTAGTTTTATAGAAAACACTGGACAGTGGGAAAAAAATAAAATAAAGACAACTCACCACAAACAATGGAAAATGGTAGTCAACATTTGTTCATACATTACCGCAGAACAACTTGTTACAAATTGCAACATCAGGAAATATTGATGGAAAGATAAAAAGAAAACAGCGACAGAAGATTCTGAGCATCTTTCAGCACAGCACAGAAAAGTTTCAGCACATGAACTGATACATCTGTCACTCTGGTTTCTCTTCACAAAGTGAAAAAGAAAATTGATATATCTTGCTGGAGATCCAAAAGAATGAAGCATTTTAACTCACCGCTTGGCAGTGACCACACCAAGTCAAATAATTATATGTAAAATTAGTAGTGAAAATATTACACACAATCTAGCGAATGTCATATGACCTGATACAACATGTCATGCAAACTAGAAAACAATGTCATGTAAATAGGATAGAGAAGAAGCCTAAGCAATATAACTTTAACTTAAATTAATTTTAACTTTCATTAATCTGGTTAAACATTACAAATTAATTTGCAAGGCTGACAGTTTATTAAAAAAAAAAATCATACAAGAAGACACTGAGGACTCAACATGTATTATTCTCAGGGTGTCAGTGGATGCACTGCAGCCAGTCAACATTATGGAGATGGCACAATTTAAATATTGAAATAAAACATAGTCGTCACTTTGAATCACTAAGTTAAACAACATATAATCTCGTAACGATGGCATATAAAGCAAGAGAACACATTCTGAACATGACCCACATTTTAAAAAAGCCCAGGTCTACATTTCTCCTCAACAACATCACAAATTGCAATAAAACACACATCGAGCATGTGAAATATTCTGGTTAAACATCAGATCATCTTGTCAACGTGACCTAATATTAATTACTCTGGAAATAATCTAGAAAACATCAACTACTATTAACTCTAATAAAATCCAGCAAAACAGCTTAGGGAATCTCGTAAAGATGTAAAATATTTCAGCATACACAAACAGGACATGTGAACATGAAATAAGTTATTCACATTTAAAAACTAGTCAGTGATAATCTTGCAAACAAGGGAGGAGAATGTGAATAAAAATAAAACTTCCAAACTTTGAGAAAAAAAGAGAGTTAACGAGGACATAAAAAAAGACAAGAGAATCGGTTCAATGATGACTCCACTCTCTTGTCTGGCAAGGATGGAATACAATTCTTTGCTTTGAGACAGGGTATTTCAGAGGAAGGATCAGTAAAACAACTGTTTGCTGCTGAAAGAGTTAAACTGCAGCCATCTCTTTATTTATAGTGAAAACATGTAACATTTTTCAAATATGGAATTCAAGAAGTACAGATCACATTTCATGCAAATAAAAAAATTTAAAAACTGCAAAAGCCCTGAAAAGACTAGGACAAGTGACCCAAACAAAGAAAAACCATACACATCACACATCTTAGGGAAAAATTGATTTAAATAAAAAGTGAAATTCTTGCTGAATATATATTAACCCCCCCCCCCCCCCCCCCCCCCCCCCCCCCACACCTTTCCGAAATATACAAATTTATACTAGAAGTATTCTCACAGATGCAACTGCACTGAAGCAAGGAAAGCTACAACCTGTCAGAGTTAACAAGACAATTGAATTCAATCATTTTAGTTAACAAACAAGACAATTAGGCTGTTTACCTCTTAAAATTAACATGTTATTCACAAAAATATAAACAAACAAGCATAACAATTATTGTGTTTTGAAAAATTTAAAATAACATTTTTTATTTTTTAAATTTAGACATTTTAATACCACCATTAGAGGCCCTTTAAAAAAAGGCACAATGGTTTAAAAAAAAAAAAGTGGAATGTTGATACAATCAACTGCTGAAAATGATATGTAGTCACAAAGTATTATCTTTAATGTGGACTATGTTGAATAACTGTGCTTCCCCAAACAGAAATAAATGGAAAGGTGTATTTGGACGTAACCACCTCACTAGTCTGCCTCAAGGAAATGAAGCTTGCTGTAACTCTAATATAAATGAATGTAATTACTTCTTCTTCTTTTGCTTTGTGCTGCTAACCGTTGCAGTTTAACAGATGGTAGGTAGCCGAGCTATGGTGCTTTCTGTTGCTTGGTATGCTGTTATGTTGTAATGTCTTAGCTGTCAGTGACACATTTAATCCACCTTTTTCTAGGTCTCCGTCTGCCTCTTGTATGCTCTTGCTGCTGTTATTGCTGGATTCCATCTCATTAGGTGGTCTAACCATTTCTGTTTTTGTTTCTCCAAGAATTTAATGAAAGGTAATGTTTCAATAGTTCTTTAATCTGTTTAATTCTCACACACAATCTCTTCTGGTTTTGTTTGTAGCTTTTCTCAATCATCTCAGTTCACAGGTGGTTAGTTTTAATGTTACTACTAGTACAGAACGAAAATTCATATGTTAAGCTTGACTCCACAATTGTGCAATCGCTGAAAAACAGTTTCATACACATTGCAACACTCAAACAAACCATGCAACTCTCAGTGGGAGAGAACCAAAGTACTATTAGCCAAAGTACAACTCTTGTTTTCAGCTGCTGATACTTTGGCCACACACACATTCACACAAAATAGATCAAATTGAAGACTTTTAGTATGATCTGGGAAATGTTAGGACACAAAAAAAATTAGTTAATACGTTTTAATAAAAGAACTGAAAACTGACGGCTCCATGCTCAACAAGCTACGACAAGGATTCAGGGAGGATCAAACTTCACTCCATGCTGGACAAAATCCATCAGTTACCTCCTCCTAGGAATCACTCATCACGGCGCCGTCTGGCTCTCCTGGCTGCGCGATCATCTACTTCCTCAGCTGGTGCAGCCTCTTGCTCTTTCTCTCTCTCTTCACGTCGACGTCTTCTCCTTGCTTCTCTGTCATCTTCTTCTACAGGAGCCACAGTTTCTTTTTCTTTCTCCTCTTGCCTCCGTCGTCTCCTTGCTTCCCTATCATCATCCTCCGAAACTTTCTTTTCTTCTGGTGCTGGCGATTCTTCCTCCTTCCTTCGCCTTCTTCTTGTTTCCTTGTTATCCTCCTCAGAAACCTTTTTTTCTTCAGGGGGTGGGGCCTCTTCCTCTTTTCCTCGTCTTCTTCTTGTTTCCTTGTCATCCTCCTCAGAAACCTTTTCTTCAGGTTGTGGTGTCTCTTCTTCTTTTCTTCGTCGCCTTCTTGTTTCCCTATCATCCTCTCCAGCAGCCTTTTCGGCTGGTGCTTCTTCCTCCTTTCTTTGTCGCCTCTTTACTTCTGTGTCATCCTCCTCAGAAGCCTTCTTTTCTTCTGCTGCTGGTGCCTCCTCCTCCTTTCTCCGTCGCCTCCTAGATTCCCTGTCATCCTCTGCAGGAACTTCCTCTACTGCTGGTGCTTCTTCCTCCTTTCGTCTTCTCCTCTTTTCCTTGTCATCTTCCTCAGTTACCTTCTTTTCTTCTGGTACTGGTACCTCTTCTTTTTTCTCCGCCGCTTTTTTGCTGGAATCTTCTTCAGCAACCAAAGGAGTTTCTTCCTCTTCTTGTGCCCTTCTCCTCCTGCGTCGTGCAAAGCTTGATGCTGCATCATCATCATCATCTTTCTTTTCACTAACTGCATCTACAGTCTTACTCTCTTCTTTGTCTTCAGATTTCACTTCATTGGCTTTCTCATCTTCTGTAGTTTTAACATCTTTCTGTTCCGCTTCATCTGTCTTTTTCTTCTCTTGTTCTTCTGTTATAACCTTTTCTTTTTCTTTCTCTTCTTTCTGCCTTTTTTCATCTTTACTTTCATTCTCTTTTTTATCACTAGTGGTTTCATCTTCTCTAAAATTTAATTGCTCCTCATCATCTTCTTTTGGCTTTCTGAAACGTTGTTTTGAAACAGGTGCTGTTTCTTCATTTTCTACTGCCTTTTCTTCCTCTTTTTCCTCACTCTTTATTGCACCTTCTTCTTTATCTTCCATTTCATCCTCTTTCTTCTCTAGACTACTTAAGTCAAGTCCCTCTTCCTCTTCATCATATGACTTCTTGAAACGATTCTTGAAACCAGCCACAGATTTTTCATTCTTACTTTCCTCTTTCTTGGCTTCCTCTTTTGCTGATTCTTGTTCTTTTTCTTGTTTGGCATTCTCCACACCCTCTTTCTGTTCAACACTGCTTAAGTCAAGGCTTTCTTCTTCATCATCATCAACTGCTTTTTTGAATCTGCTTTTTAAAGCTGCAGAGTCTTCACTTTTCTCTTCTTCTTTCGTATCTTCTGTCTTGTCCTGTTTCCTATCTTCTTTCTTTTCTGCACCCTCTGCCTCCTCTTTTTTATCAACAGAACTAAGGTCAAGTTCTTCTTCTTCATCATCATATGGTTTCTTGAACCTGTTCTTGAAAGAGGTTGCTGTTTCTTCATTTTTCTTCTCATCTGTTTCAATTTTCTTTTCGTCTTTCTTCTCTTCTGAAGTACCAAAATCAAACCCTTCCTCCTCATCCTCTTCATGAGCTTTTTTGAATCTGTTCTTGAATGTTGCTGCAAGATCTTCTTTCTTCTCTTCATCATTTTTCTTCTCCTCCTTTTTCTTTTCTTCTTCTTCTATCTTTTCCTCTTTCTTCTCCTCAGTTTTGGTTTCTTCTTTCTTCTCTTCTTTCTTTTCATCTTCATTTTCTTCAGAGGCGCCAAAGTCTAATCCTTCTTCTTCTTCATCTGCAGCTTTCTTGAATCTATTCTTGAATGCTGTGGCAGGCTCCTCTTTCTTTTCTTCTTCTTCCTCTTTTTTCTTTTCTTCTTTTGTTTCTTCTTTCTTTTTTCCCTCCTTTTCCTCTTCTTTGTTTTCTGTATCTTTTTCCTCTTCTTTCTCTTCTCCTTTGTTTTCTTCTTCTTTCTTGTCGTCCTCATTTTCTTCAAAGGCACCGAAGTCTAACCCGCCCTCTTCTTCATCTTCAACTTTCTTAAATCGATTTTTGAAAGCTGCTGCCGGCTCTTCTTTCTTTTCTTCCTCTTTTTCTTCAAAGGCACCAAAGTCTAACCCTTCATCTTCTTCATCTTCAGCTTTCTTGAACCTATTTTTGAACGCTGCCGCCGGGTTTTCTTCTTTCTTCGCTTCTTCTTTTCCTTCCTTCTCCTCACCTTCTTTTTTTTCTTTCTCCTCGCCTTCTTTTTCTTCCTTCTCTTCTTTTTTCTCACCTTCCTCATCTCCCTCCTTCTTCTCCCCTTCTTCTTTTTCTCCACCCTCCTCTCCTTCTTTCTCTTTTGTCTCCCCAGCTTCATCTGCAGTTTCTTTGTCTTTCTCAGACTAGATATTTAAAAGAAAAAGAGAAAAAATATATAACTCATAATCCAACATAAGTTTTAAAAAAAAAGAAATAATGTAACATGTCTTATCATTTTTACCCTATTTATCACTGTATGTTTCATGCCTGAGAGGCAAGGAACCAACAGTCTGCATACAAAAGAGCCAGATCTGTAAAATCAATGTGTACACAAAACTCAAGTTCTGAAACAAAATAAAAAAGGTCCAAAAGCGGACGAACAACCAAAACTTTCCGCCAGAGCTTATAGCTGCTGAACGCTAAGAATAAGCATAAGCAGAAGAATATATCCTGTAATTACACTGACTTCTGTGTTTGCTATTCTGATAACTTATTTTCAATGTATTGATTCAAAAATACAGATATCTATGAACAAGAAATGTCAAATAATATTACTACCAAACAATATTAAATAATTATAAAATAAATGAAACTTCTAATGCTTTTCTTATCTAATTCCTTTCCTTAATTTGTTTTGATTAACAGAATTATTATTATTATTTTTAAATGTTTACATTTCTGCAAATTTGTCAATAAAGTGTAAAAAGAAGGGAAATAATAAAAATATAAAACGGGATTGGGGGGCGAGAAAGAGAGAGAGAGAGAGAGAGAGAGAGAGAGAGAGAGAGAGAGAGAGAGAGAGAGAGAGAGAGAGAGAGAGAGAGAGAGAGAGAGAGAGAGAGAGAGAGGAAGAAAGAGAAAGTGAGAGAGAGAGAGACAGAGAGAGAGAGAGAGAGAGAGAGAGAGAGAGAGAGAGAGAGAGAGAGAGAGAGAGAACAAATGAGAGTCAATGGTGGCTGAAGATAAAGAAAAACTGAAGTGGAACAGTGGTGGAAGGAGTACATTTGTATACAATTTTGACGGAAGCTCTGGTTAATATTGATTATAGTGTTAGCTGCTGCAGTTCTGATGGTAGCTCTGGATAATGCTGAGTACAGCATTGATACAGTTTTGATGCTAGCTTTAGGCTAATACTAGTGATAATGTGAACTGATGCAACTGATGGGAAGTAAAGAAACTCTTCTCCTGACATAAGGCGTGTGCAGGTTAGTGCTATATAGTGGGTATAGACATAAATAAACATAATTCCCCCTGGTCTCTGGGTAGTGAGATTGGATGCATGTGTGCATTTTTGCGCACGTAAAAAAAAAATTCCTTGGCAGTTAGAAATCGAAAATAGTAGACTAACGGTGCTGCCCGGGCAAAAATTTGGAGTTAAAAATCTACTCAAAGTATTTCAGGATCCTCGCTGGTGCTACAGAGTATGTGCACTGTGCTGAGCTTATTCAGACTCAGACTTGAGTTAGAAGAAAGAATGGAGCACTTATGGGTTACTACCCATGTGCCATGATGTTGATCCATTGTTCAAACCTTAAACATAAACAAACATAGGGGGAATCCTTGAGGCCGTAGAAACACTGCGCTCAGTAATGTTATCGACCATTTGGAGATGACGGGTTAGATTTGCGTCATGGCAACTGTAGCTTTCTATGAGTGCCGATCAATAATCTGTTTGTTTATTACCTATATAGTGTGTGTGTACAATTTTGTTTGTCAGTTCAGAACTCACTGGATGATGTGGTTAATATCATGCTGGCTTCTTCATTTCTATGATCATTATTAGAGCCCAGTGTGGGTTCCAGGGGCCCCATCATGGGAACAAAAAGAATACATCCACAGCACACCCCCCCCTTTTATTTAAAAACCCCACAACAAGCATGTCCGAAGAGCTGAATAATTAGCGATGTTTACTTCAAAGTCAGAGTGTATCTGTCTGAGACACGAGGAACAGTCTGTGTAAAAATAAGCCAGATCTGTAAAACAGATGTGCACCCACACTCAGGTTCTGGAACAAGACTAAAGTCTAGAAGTGGATGATCTATGAAAAATGGTCAACATTTTGCAGGCTGCCTTTACTTCCTATGACATTATCGGGACCCATTTAAGGGTGGATCAACATAACAGGCAAGGTAATTTTGAAGGGAAAAAAATATCTTCAGGTTAAAAGCTGAGGATCTAGTCACTGAGAACTGAACATATAATGTAACTGTGATGATAGAATTGAGTGGTACTGATAATGATAAATGTTAACAAAAGTGTTAACTGATGTAACTGTGATGATTGCATTGATTAGTACTGATAATGATAAATGTTAACAGAAGAAATAATGATGTTATTGTAATAAATGTTAACTAAAGTGTTAACTGATGTAACTGTGATGGTAGCATTAACTGGTACTGATAATGATAAATGTTAAAATAAGAAATATTGATGTAACTGTAATAAATGTTAACTAAAGTGTTAACTGATGTAACTGTAATGGTAGAATTGATTAGTACTGATAATGATAATGGTTAAAAGAAGAAATATTTATGTTAGCTGTAACGAATGTTAACTAAAGTGTTAACTGATGTAACTGTGATGATAGCATTGATTGATACTGATAATGATAAATGTTAACAGAATAAATATTGATTTTACTGTAATAAACATCAACTAAAGTGTTGACTGATGTAACTCTGATATTAGCATTGATTAGTACTGAACAATGAATAAAAAAAATGTACAGAAGAAATATTGATGTTAGCTGTAATGAACGTTAACCAAAGTGTTAACTGATGTAACTGGGATGGTAGTTAACTGATGTAACTGGGATGGTAGTTAACTGATGTAACTGGGATGGTTGTTAACTGATGTAACTGGGATGGTTGTTAACTGATGTAACTGGGATGGTAGTTAACTGATGTAACTGGGATGGTAGTTAACTGATGTAACTGGGATGGTTGTTAACTGATGTAACTGGGATGGTTGTTAACTGATGTAACTGGGATGGTAGTTAACTGATGTAACTGGGATGGTAGTTAACTGATGTAACTGGGATGGTTGTTAACTGATGTAACTGGGATGGTTGTTAACTGATGTAACTGGGATGGTAGTTAACTGATGTAACTGGGATGGTAGTTAACTGATGTAACTGGGATGGTTGTTAACTGATGTAACTGGGATGGTAGTTAACTGATGTAACTGGGATGGTAGTTAACTGATGTAACTGGGATGGTTGTTAACTGATGTAACTGGGATGGTAGTTAACTGATGTAACTGGGATGGTTGTTAACTGATGTAACTGGGATGGTTGTTAACTGATGTAACTGGGATGGTAGTTGTGAGAGAAAAATCACATTCACTACACACTACTGCACATGCTCTACCTGATCCACTTTTTCTTTGTCTTCCTCTTCCTCCTGAAGTTTATAACAAATATCGTAAATAAAAGTAACATGTTTACAATTGAGATCATGAGCAATAGTAACAGCATAAAAGAACGTTTAAACTACAGAAATATAAACTGTACAAAATTCAGTACGATAATATTAAACATGTAACAGTTCAAATGTCATGACCACGTCTGTACAGGTTACAACACATCGGTTTCAATTGTTATTTCTGTATTGCCTGTGTGGATTCTGGGGCCAAATTTAGGGGTGGAGGCCTGTGCGGGTTATTGGGCCAAATTTTGCGGTGGAGGCAATAGAGCTACTGCCCCTTAACTATCGGGTTGTATTAGACGGCTCATTAGAGTTTGCTGAAATTAGATGTAAAGGCCAGACAGTGCAGCCTAGCTGTACCAAAAAACAGCGTGCCTACCACCCCTTTAAAGGTGAACTAAGAAGAAGATCACAACATATATTTTAAGATTTCTTTTTTTTTTCTTTTAGCTGATACCGGTATGGTACCGAAGGTCTTTGATAAAGCAACAAATACAACACAAAGAATTTTCAGTAAGGTAATATATTCACAATTTATTTTATAGTGCAAAAAACTTTCAGGTATTTCATAACCATTTATTAAGTAGCACGAGATCCCTTCAACCAAGTTAGTTAGTTTACTTTAAGGCACCAAACATTTAACTCTTTGAGTCCCTGGGGTTTAGCATCAGAGGCCTTGGGGTAGATGTGAGAGATGTAAAATTGGTGCATCTTACGTTCATTGGGCCTTTAGGTGGGAACCTATGAACGTATGATGCGTTCCTTGGGACTCAAAGAGTTAAGTAAGACGTTCATTAATTTATTTATATTGCATTCTACTTAAAGCTGGCGTTTGCTTAGTTTTATATTGCAATACATAATCTGCTGGTAATTCAACTTTCCGACCTTTAGTTGAGGTGCCAACTTCACCCTGGGCTGCTTGCCCCAAAACTGCTCTGTTCTCGTGTAAGTGGAAACCACACGTTCTTCACTGTCCGATTTGAAAACTAGTGAAAAACAGGTCAGTCCCAACAAAATCGTGAAGTAAATGCATAAAGCAGCTGTCAGATGTGCCGACATCAACAGTTCCCTACCAGAATTGCAGCTCACTGCTGATGCAAGCAGTCAATTATGAAAGCCTGCGTTGTACACAGAATAATTCAGGTCCATATGGTAGATCATCTGCTTACTGGTGCACTCTGAAAGGTTATTTGTTTCTAGCCAGGGTTTGCTGATGGGAATTCCTCATCTCTGGACTAAAGTCCGCAGGTTCTGTCACCCAGCAACTGAGTTGAGTGCCTGGTGCAACACTGTGAGCTGCATATTTTATGTCAAAGGTTTCTTTTGCTGTGCCTGCGACAGCTTTGTGCTGCGTTAACTTTACAATATACACACCAAAAAACTTTTAAAGCGGCATCACTAAGGAAAAATTTTAAACAAACAGATTACTCAATGTTCTTCAAATCAGACAATAAAGTTGAAGATAGCTTGATTTCATAGCACAAGTTCAGTGATTATGATTGCTTACAGAGCAAATAATTGAAGGTTCAAAATCAGTTTATTTTGTGGTGGAAACTCCTATTCTCTGTCATAGTGTTTACTGAAAGTAAACTCTAGTGAAAAGTTGTTTGTTCATTTCTGGACTAAAGTCTTGCTCCAGAACTGGAGTTTTGCATGCACATCCATTTCACAAATCTGGCTTATTTGTATGCAGACTGTTGGTTCCTCATCTCTCAGCCAGATGCACTCGACTTCCGACACCCCTTATTAGCTGCCTTTTATGACATGCTTGTTAAGGGGCAGAGGGACTATTCTCTTCCCGCCAAAAAGGGGCCCCAGAGCCCACACGGGGTAGTGCAAACAACTTGAACATCATGAAAAACTGTTAATCCAAACCTTGAAGTAGAACTAATCAGCTTCAAAATACCACAATCACAAATGACAAAATGAATGTTAGCAGCCAGAAAGCCCTCATCAGCATACACACAAACTAAAACACTAAGTAATGTACTTGACAAGTTTACAACAGACTAGACGTTGACTAAGTTCACATGTATTGCTCTGCCAAGTGCTCTAGCATTCTTCTACTTACTCCTGTGATAACGACTGAAGCTTTGGATGTCTTGTTTGGGTTTTCTAATTTGAGAAATTCATAAAGCTGGTCCCACTCTAGCGATTCTGCAAACTTGTCATAGTCCTGTTAACCATCAAAATGAAACTTTAACAAATTGTAAATCTGTTAACAGTAAACATGACACACAATAAAATACTGCAATTATTGCATTTTTTCTGTGTATAAGATAATACATTTTTCCAAATTTCGTCAAGTTTAACACTGTTGGTTGCTTTATACACGGAGTTTGTTTAAAATATTTATTTTCCTAATTCTGGGCTAAAAATACAGGGGCTTTATACACAGAAAAATATGGCATGCCTTTTATCAATCTGAGAACAGTTGCTCAATACCCAGTCTGATGATCTTGGGTATGAATCCCAAAAAATGACAGACTTTTTTTAAAACTGACCTTGGTCAACTTAGCCTAAAGTGGATACCAGGTAATACATTGGGAAGTAAAGGCAATTGTCATGATGTTGACCCCATCATACAAAGAGTGACGAATGGTATACTGAAATACAGGACAAGCATCACATGAAAGAGGCGACAGCGGATTAGAAAACAATTTACTTACATAAACACGTCAGTTAGTTCTGTAGTAATCTGGCTAGTTAGTTAGTTATTTAGTATGTTGAGACAAAAGTAAGTTGAAAAAACAGAGTATGTTGAGAAAGGCGGAGACAAGCACGCTCTGTGCAGAGTGGTAGGCATCACTTCAGACGTCCCGGCTAGTTAGCTTCTTTTGGATATTTTCTCCAGGTCATGCCGGTGTGTTGGGAAATGATCAGACAGACAGACTGGCTGATTCTGCACCATTTGTTGGTGAACTGATGTATGACAAGCTAAATGTTGTGAGGGCCCTTTGGGAGCAAGTGAACAGTGCGAATGCACAATAAGATCATTACGGTCTGAGGAGAATGGTCTGGTAGTCTGGTAGTCTTAGTTTCAGCTTCATAGCAAACGGGTCACCCCATCTTTGCTCCTCTCCTGTGCCAACGAAAAACACACAGAATGTTTATCACAGTCCCTTGTGAAAATATTGACAGACTGCTGTCTCAGCATATCTAGCATACACACGCATTAATGCATATGGTAGGCACATTAAAGAATACGGTAGCCATCCAAAGTGCTAACACAGACAGTCCGACATTAAAAATGCAGTTCATCACTGATGGTCGCAGAAGTCACCAACAGATCAGCAGTTGCCCACGTGTTCAATTTTAATCACATACGGGCACCACCAACATTGCAACGACAGGCATCGCGCCATTTTCTGAATCTACAATTCACACCACCACATTGGTCACAGTAAAAAAAAAAATTCCAAATGAAATCCCCAGCTCACAGTGTCACCCCATGCATTCAACTCAGAAGCTGGGCGACGAAACTATATCCAGTCTACAAATGGAGTGAAAATGCATCAGCAAAATTTGCCTCGGCTCCAAACGGTGCCCTTGCCTAGCGTCCATTTTGACCGGAAGTTTTCAGGCACTGGATGTACCAACACTAATGATCCCACACCAGAACTGCAACTATACTGTTGGTGAGCACGATCAAACAAGAAAGCTGACACTCGATGAAGGCATCGCAATAATGCAGAAATATATATATATATATATATATAACAGCACTATGGGCTCCTTAGCAAACCAGTGTGCTGGGGCCCTTATGACAACCATTTACAGGGATTAAATTTGTTTTTAAGGCAGGTCACTTGATTGTTGTTGTTGTTGTTATCAATCCAGCGGCGCATGAGCTTTCGCCCTTTGGCCCAATGCCATGTAGTGGAATTTGCATGTTTTCACAAGCTGTTCTTTTCCTCCGTACAAGGTGTTCCACTTGTCTGGTCTCGGAGGGAGTAGTGTTCTTCTTGTCTCACTGAGTTTTGGGCACTCAAAGAGATGGTGTTCAACAGTTTCGTAGGGGTAGTTACATAGCTGGCACTCTGGGGAGTGTTGTGGCTGTATTCTGTTTAGGTGTCCATTGAGCGGAGTATGTTGCGTTCTAAGTCTGAAGATGGTGGCCTGGTCCCTTCTTGTTAGATGGTTAATGCTGTCATTAGGATCAGGGCCAGACATATGTCTATAAACCTCTCTTCCAGTGTCTCCCAGGTCACTTGATATATATACAGATTAGCATTGGACCTCTAGGCTTGCAGGGTCCTTCAGGCTGTGTTATATGTGCACACACACACACACACACACACAGAGAAAGAGAGAGAGGGGGGGGGGAGGGGAGAGAGAGCATTAAACAGACACATGTGAGACAGTGAGATATACACACTAATAAATATAGTTAGATTAGTGAGAAGAGAGACACTGGAGAACATCGTGACAACTGGAAAGATCTGTGGGAAAAAGGGTAGAGGCAGACCAAGAGAGATGATGCTGGATGGGCTGAAACGATGGCATGGAGGGATAACAGCAAGAGAGCTGTTCCAGGAAACCAGGGATTGTGATCTGTGGAGACACATGAGCGCCTGCGCCAGTTGGCAGTGCAAACTATTCTCCTTCCCTGTGAAAACTCACCCCACAATACTCGTCTCCGTTGAAAATCTGTGGCGGGGTTGGTTTCTGGCCTGGTTTCTTGGGCTTACTGTTTGAATGCATAAACTTGAGCTGTTCATCGTTGCGGGGGTCAAGGACATCAATGCACTCATGTTCAATGTGAAGAGCATTTAGAATATCCAATATATCCTGCTGTTTTTTTCTCACCTGACGAAAAATTTTGTTAACGAGACCAATTAGCATCAGCCATGATGAAACAGGCATTGGCTGGCATTCATAGACGTAAATAAAAGACGCAGAAATTAGAAGACATAGACAATACAACTTCTTTTTTCCCTGGACTTTGGTCTTGTTCCACAACTTAAGTTTTACATGCGCATCCATTTTACAGATCTGACTTATGGGTATGCAGACTGTTGGCTCCTCATCTCTCAGGAAAGTGTGTCCTGACTTTGACACTTCAAAGCAAGACATGTGTGCATGTGTGTGTGTCTGCACGCGATTGTGTGGGTGGGTAGGTCGTCTATTATTGTTCACTTAAATGGGCCCTAGAACCCACAAGGGAAGTAGGTTACAGGCACACAAAAACTAGAACTCGCAACTTCCCAGGAGCAATAGCATCTCACTGAAGGCACAAGAAAGTATTATAATTATAGAATAATAACATAGGCTACGATTCCTTTTATTTCTACCTCTACTTCTCCCATATTTATTTCATCTTCTTCTATCTTACTTCTTCTGTTTCTAGGTCTTCATCGTTTTCACACTTCTTCTTCTACTCTTACATCTTTATCTTCTTTTACTTCCATCGTACTTTATCTTTTAACTTTACCTCTTGATCTTCTCTTATTTCTACCACTTCATCTTCTGATACATTATTCATTCTTCTATTACTACCTCTTCATCTTCTTCTATCTCTACCTCTTCTGCATCTTCTATCTCTACTTCTTTCTCTTTTATTTATTCCTCTACTTCTCGTTCAACCTCTACTACTTCTACCTCTTCTACACTACTAATAGCCAAACTCCCCCCCCCCCCTCCTTCACAGTGTTAATGGTGAGATTTTAACCCCCCAAAAAAAACAGGATAGTGACTTTTCCTTGGATCCTGGGCTAGTAAATTGGGCAACTAGCCTTCTGAGATAAAGGCAAACATTAGGAAGACTTATGTTTAGTTACACATATCACTCAGCAGGTGTAAATCAAAGAGATGGCTACCCAGTATGCAGTAAAAACTTGAAAGAAAAAATTTCAAGCATGTGTCATTCTGGATTTTACATATTTGTATCCTCACTGATGAAGAGGTGCTGAACCACACGGGGCTCACACTAGTCAAGACCTGTCTGCATGTCTCCAGTCATCACTGAAAAAGGTTCCCAACTCGCCAACATAGACAGGACCAACAATTTCAAATCATAGTGCATCTGCTAGTGAAGTGAGGAACCAACAGTCTACAGACATATAATCTGATCTGTGTGCATATTAAAGTTTTGGGCTATCCTCCGAATAACGGTCCCAAATTATCGAGGCCGAAAATATACCCTAATAGGGCATCAGTCACATGTCAATTGCAGACTTCCGGCAACTTAATTTGCGGACTTCCGGCGACTACCGCCACCGACAAGATTATCTCCCAAACAGCATGGAACGGGGCTAAACTAGATGGGTGGGACTTACGAGCAGCCGCTACCGCATCTCCTGCAGCTTCCTTCATTATATTTGCTCGTGAGTCCCAGCCATCTAGCTTAGCCCCGCGCTCAGCGGTGGTGTTAGTCACCGGAAGTCTGCAATTGACATGTGACCGAGGCCCTGTTAGGGTATGTTTTCGACCGCGATAATTTGGGACCGTTATTCTGAGGATGGCCAAGTTTTTAAACAACAACAAAATCCAGAAGTTGATGAACAACCAGGGCTTTCTGCCTGATTTTACATCCAGCGAACGAGAAGAAATATCCTCATCAGTGTTATAAAGGATATGCGCTTTAACAGGATTTCCCTTCAGTGGTCTATGGAAGATTAACACGATTTCCCTTTAGTGGTCTATGGGAGGAGGGCTTAAGAATGGTCGGGCTTTCTACTAAGAATGGTCGGGCTATCTACTATGCCTACAAGTCATTTTTTGTGAACAAGCTGAACGGGGGGGGGGGGGGGGGGGGGAGGGAGTCGTACCAACAAATCAAGAATACGGAATCAATAAATGAAATGACGTATACAAAGAAACAAAACAAAGCAAAATTATACTCTGTAGCTTGCTAAGATTGAATATGAGAATATAGTAAACAATTCACACATATGTTCACTGATAAACTAAAGACCACAATTCACATCCTAAAGTTTTAGAGAACGCAATTTATGTCACCTCATAACTGAAGGCAGAATTGCTGATAAACACTTTAATGGTCATTTTCGTGGGTCCAGGTGACTAACATATACAATGCACCTGTGTTATAAGCGAAAACAAACTTTCGAAAAAACTTATATAGTTATCTTTGGAGCAAAGAAATTAGCAAGTTTGTTTGAGAGAAGTGTCTGCCCTGATTAGGAAGTTTTTCAATAACTTTAGTTTTGTGTGTTGTACGTCATCAGAACTTGAGCTGAAGAGTTTCGACCTCCACAAGAGTACACATGAAGCAATGACGTTTTACGCATTCAAGGAAAGATTGTTTATCGTTGCTGGGGCAGATAGACATGGATGCACAATTTCTGGGTACCGAATATGTTTGTATGAGATGTAAATATTAAGCCATTTTTATTGTTTAAATGTTCGCTGTGGTGAGTTACACCTGTAAATTTTTTATTTCTGCAGTTTTGTTGTCCCCCCTCCACAACTGCATAGTAGTTCAACTAGTTCCACCAACAAATGCGCCGACTTGGCAACTAATGAATGCAAAAAAAAAAAAAATGACAGTGTCACTGACTAATAATGTAAATGACATGAAATAATTTATATTATAAATGTAAATTAAATATTTTATAAATTACTGAAAAATAATATTGGTTCTCCTTTAAACTACGGTTAGTCGGAGTTCAGTCCCCTGGCTTCAGTGCAATTACGGAGTGGAGAAGGCACGAATCACAAAACAAAGTGACGTCAACATGGCTGCACTAGCCGGGCGCTATTGTCGTCATATTTAGCAGAATTCCAATGGCGCCACTGCCACAAGCAGCACATTTTCGACTTTTGTTTGCAACTTCTGTGTCAAAATTATCAGATATAGCGGCCATCATTATGGGTAAGTACTCGACGTTACATGTGTTACCCTAACCCTAACCCTACCCTACCCCTAACCCAAACCCTGGCCGTATGATGACAGCAGGCCACTGCACGCTGTCTATCGCCAACACACAGTAATTATGTCATTTGTTTCGTTCCCTTTTTTCCACTGCGTAATTGCACTGCAGCCAAGGGATGAACTCCGACTAACCGGCCGTAGTTTAAAGGAGAGCCATAATATTAATAAATAAAACGAACAATACAATACATGTTTCTACTAAATGAAAGAATGTGTGGAATTGAAGAAAGGGAAGGGTCTTCAAATAATAGTAATGCTAGTAAATAAAAGTGGGAATGACAGGGCTGGGTGAGAAGATCAGGTTATCAAACAAAAAACTTTGGCTCGGTGAAACAGTGTTGAACATTGAGGCTATACAGAAAGAAAAAAGACTGCAGCTTCTTTGCTTTCCTCTTAACTACTTCAGTGATAAACATTGACTATTATACAGACAAGTAGATTGATGTACTTGAGATCTTCAACGGTTCCCTGTGGTCTGTAGTTGCTCTTGAGGGTTCGATGTTTTGGAAAGATTCCCTCTCCCTGACAGATTATGAGATGAGTTGTAAAGTTTGTTCAGTGCTGCACGTTTACAATGGCGGCCAGAGCCCTTCTTTGAAGAAATGCTCTGAGTAGAGTCCTGTTCTGAGTGTGACAATTCTCTTCTTTGAAGTTTGTGTAGGGTATTTAAGCTATTATGCTCTAGTCTGTAATTTTAATTGTCTTTGCTGCAGCTCACCATCATAGATTGTAATTAAAGTTTAGAGTCACCTTTGTTGTTGTTGATTTTTGTGTTTAACTTTTTGAGTCCCAGGGGGTTTAGCATCACAGGCCCAAGGGGTAGTGAGGAAAGTTATAAAATCTGCACATCATGCGTTCATTGGTCTTCTAGGTAGGAACCTTTGAACATATGATGTGTTTCTTGGGACTCAAAGAGTTAAATCTCAGTGATGAATGAGACCATATGCGTTAAGAAATGACATCATAGCACTCAGGATATTCCCATAAGCGCTCCATCCCCATTTCCAGCTGCAAGAGTAGTGTTTCCACTCTGATGGTACTAGTCTGTATCACTGTGTCTATATTTGGAAAGGCTAACCAGGAAGCAAATGCCTGCAAAAGCTGGATGTGTCGGCCGAAAGGTGCAAATATTGCAACATGTTGTAAATGAGTTTTACATCTTTGGATGAACACAGAAGATGAAGAAGAAACATGTCCATCTCATCCCTTCCCCAATTGTTGAGCACCGGCCAGATCTCCTGGCCATTCCTCAGTGCACTTTTCTCTTCAGACCATAATGATCTGTTTACGCACTGAGTCGTTTGTAACCTTTTGTCACAACTGCCACCACAAGATCCATAAAATAAAGGCTTGTATCAAAATTGTTACCAAGATACCTTAGTTTGCTTTCTCTTTTGATGTTTCTAGAATTAATTGTGGCGCTGAAGGTAGGACAGCTGCTACCCAGGAACATGCACCTGTTTCCATGAGCGCAGACATCAGTATGAAACTGTAATCTTACCTACTCCCATTCTAAGTTCATCTATTTTTGTTTGTTTTATTTCCATGAATAACAGGAAGAGCTAGTAGCCACCACAGGATTAGTTCTGCTCTTGTGGAGAGCATTGTAATTTTGTCTTTCTTTGCTTTTAATCTGTGTTGTGAGGTCTTGGTATTCATATCTGCCCACAACCTTCTGTCTCATGTTCTTCCAGTACTTTCTATTGTTTTCTTTTCATGCCATGATATACTGTAACATCTATCCCTTGGTCTACCTTCCTTCTCCTCCACATCTCCTGTTGTCACATCATCAAACCAGTTTTTCCTCTTATCATATGCCATAATATGGTTTGTTTCCTTGTGATCAGCTCTCTTTGTTAGTTAATTTGTTTTGAAATATCTTTATCTATTTTTGTTAACATGTAATGTTGTTTATCATTTGTTGCCTAGAAAAAATAAATGGCTACTCCATATGTGAAAATAATTTATGTGCCTGTGTGCATGCGTCACTCTCTCTCTCTCTTGCTCGCTCCCTCTATCTCTGTCCGTCTCTTGCACACAGATCATGCATAATTTAGCTGTTTTAGCTTTAAGACAAAACAGTGATGCATAAAGGGTTTATATATATCATTTACCTGGTATACAAGTGTCAGCTCTTACCAGTTGTAAAAGGCAGGAGAACTTGTGACACTATTATCTAAACACTTGGGGAACAGTCAGTCAAACGCCAGGCATTGCTCGGACCTGCAGTTGATAGATTGTCATGAGGACCTGCAGTTGATAAATTGTCATGACCATGAACACGCACATTTTTTAGCATCTCTGTCATTCTTGTACTGCATATACTTACTGATGTATCCATCGTCATCATCATCATTGTCCTGTTGTGACATTATATGTTACATAGGTCTTGCAGTCTATTCCTTCATTCCGTTCTTACCAGAATGGTATCCTTTCCTGCAAGTTTATATATCACCCAAAAAAAAAGACTTTTTCAGGCGTAGGAGGCTGGCAGTGGGGCCCAAGCTTCCTCCTTGCTAGCTTGGGACCAGCAGTGACGGAGAGCTATTGTTGTATGAAGTCTCTTAATTTGTAACTGATTTGTAATAATTTACAGAAACAAAATGGAATACATTTTGCTGAGCAGAAATGGAAAGGATCCATTTTATGCTGTGACTAGCACATTTGTAGGCACATCATCAAAATTATGGCCGAGGTAAATAAGAAAGGCCAGATTTTTGCAAGTGGGACTTGAAGATGAGTGGCAAACAGTCATATGCTGGGGAAGTTGCAGCTACAGCCGATAGATACAGTAATCATTTTGAAAGTGATGAGGAGATAAAGGCCTCAAAACAGAAAGGGACTCCACCCCTAAGGAAGGCTACAGGCTATCTGAATAAATGTAAGTTGAACAGTTGTTGTACTGCTCATATCATTTATATTTGTTTCTTTTACACAGCTGGTCACCCTTTTGCTTTATGAGTTATCTCTTTTCTCCCATCTTTTCACTGTTAGCCAGTGATGATAGATTTGTTTAATGCTTTCAGTGCTTCAAGGTCTTCCATCTGTTTTAATTACATTATCTCTACCTATAGCATAGGACAATGTAGTATAGAATGGGTTCAAAACAAGTCATGCAGGATGGTGTATTTGATAGACATAGTTGTATTGGATGTTATTATGTTATTACAGGATACATTTACTCCTAGAATGATATTCATTTTTGATATTGCTATTGGAATCAGTTTGTGTAGCTGAAAAATAAGGATCAGTACCTAAATTCTGTGACCATATGGAACAACCCTAAATGCTGAAGATTTTTAAGTCCTAAATAAAACATATAATGCAACTAAAAAGCTTGACGGAGGGAATGGAAAATTATATGCACAAATTTGACCGAACATTCGGTTGTATTCATAGGCATCATTTCAGTTCCTTTCATTGAGCTTTCCAGTCACATTTTACATTTATTTCGACTTTCTTGTCATTAGCTCGACAGCAGTCATCCTTATGAAAGTCTGCAGAATAAAACGAGATGAGGAAGAAGAAAGGGGAGGAGATAATCATAATAAAAACAAACATGAAAAGGTGGAGAGACATCAGCTGCAGCAGAAGAAACAGACCTCCCTGCTGTGTGCTTTAGTGTTGACATTAACAGATTTCACTATTTGTTACATTAATAGAGTTTGCTAGGAGCCACCATGGTGTAGTAGCTAGGCACTCGCCTTTGGATCTAAAGGTTTTTAGGTCCTGACAGAGCCAAGCTTTTTTTTCTTCCAGAAATAACCTTGGCTCCCAGGTCAATCCAGACTTAAATGGGTACCAGGTAAAGTCCTGGGAAGTTAAGGCAGCTAGAATGATGTTGACCACATCACCTACTGAGTGCGTATAGATCTGTAAAATATAAGTCGAACCCTATATGCCCTTAACGCATAGGTTAGTTGTGTATCCTTTACAGGACATTGCAGAACCAGCCCCAACAGCCCCTGGCTGTTGTGTGGTTTTTCTATGTAAATTTACGTCCAGTAGTTTGCCATTGCTTTCTGGACGGTCGGCTTTCGCATCGACTTAGCCACAGAGCCGACCCTATACGCATAAGGGCATGAAAAAAAGGTCCTTTCCTTTCTTGCTATTAATATAGTTGGTTATTTGTTGCATTAGTAATTCTTTAATGTACTTGAGGAGCCTCTAATCAAGTTGTTAGAAGGCTAGGCTCTTATGTGGAAGATAATGGTAATTTGTGTGTGTGTGTCTGTGTGTGTTGGAGGCAATAATAAACATCCTCACCTGGACAGGTTATGGTGACTGCACTAGTCATGTTGCCCTAAAATATTAGCTCAAGATGCCCCAACCTTCGTTCTCCTCCTCCTCCTCCTCCTCTAGCCCATTTCTGCCCTTCAGTGTCAAGTTTTGAAGACACATTGCCTGCAGTCTTTATTTTGTGCTATATAGATGCTGGTATTTACAGCCTTGGAAATTCCATCTGTTCATCACTTGCATGGGCCACCTCCAGCTCTGCTTCCATAACATCTGAGTGGCAGGGCTGTATGTGTTTCACTGAAAGGTGGTAGTCTTGACACATATCCAAACCATTTGATCTGTCACCTCTTGATGTAGTTTAGTACTGGTTGCATCTCAACATTTTTCCTGGTATTGTCATTTCTGATCGTGTCTCTCTTAGTTACATTTAAGATTCATTGTAGACATTCCATTTCTGTCCTGCCCCACATAAGAAGTAATACTATAGACAAAAATAGCAGTTGTTTTTGTTTTTTGGTTTTGTTATTTACTTACATTTAATTGAAGTAAGTCATGACATTATTTCCTCTCCTCAGCCCATGGTCGAAGGAGAAGGTCCGATAGTTTAATAGGTAGAGTTCAAGGACAGGGGTTAAGGAGAGGTCGGGGAAACAGCCGAAAGAACAGCCAGGCAAGTGAATCTATAGACATGAAGCAGCACGACAGCTTCACCACTCGAGTCCTGTCTGCAAGTCGGAACAGGATCAATGAGCTCCGAAATAAGGTTAGGCCAATTTGTATGTTTATTTATTCATGTATTGTTTGATCTAGTCTTGTATTATTTTTGTTCTTTTTTCTTCTGCTCTGTCTATGCATCTTTCTACATGCATTAGTGCATTGCTTGCCAACTGGTCTGCTGGTTTAATACCTTTCATGCCGGCATGGCCAGGTGTATTTTTTTTTAGCATTTGTGTGCAAAAAGGTTTAGCTTCACCGTAAATTTTTAAACAATTTATACTGTAACAGATGTGTAATGAACCAGATCTGCATATTTTTGTGGCACAGATTTGTGTTAAAAGATAATTTGTATTATTTCATTGATGTCTCATCTTTCAGGTTGAAGAGCTTCAAATAAAGATCAGAGAGCTAGAACAAGAAAATAAAATGTTCAAGACTTTGCAGTTTAGGCATGAAAAGGCAATTCGAAACATTAAAGACCAGGAGAGTGATTTGCCCATGATTTTGGACAAACACAATAGTGAAATCAGGTATTTCAAAACTCTAATATTGTAGCACAATATTTGTTCAGTAGCAGTTTAATTCTTTATGATGTTTAGCATGTCCACCAAATGAATGAGATAATTATACGCTGCTGTACCAAAACAAGCAAATCACCAGCATTATGTTCCCTGCAGTAAATTATACGCTGCTGTACCACAACAAGCATATCACCAGCATGATGTTCCCTGCAGTAAATTATATGCTGCTGTACCAAAACAACCATATCACCAGCATGATGTTCCTTGCAGTAAATTATACGCTGCTGTACCAAAACAAGCATATCACCAGCATTCTGTTCCCTGCAGTAAATAATACGCTTCTGTTCCAAAACAAGCATATCACCAGCATGATGTTCCCTGCAGTAAATTATACGCTGCTGTACCAAAACAAGCATATCACCAGCATTATGTTCCCTGCTGTGTCTCTGATCAGGTGGTTTTTGTCCTGATCATACAGTGTGACCAAGCCATTTAGTTATATCTCTGTCTTCATCTTTTTATTTTATTTTTTAATGGTCAGTTTTTATCATTAATCACTATATTTTAAGTTTATTTCTCTGTTGGACGTCCCCAGAAGAGTCTTGGCTGTCATAAAACGTTACATCATAGTTTATATTTACATGCTTCCATAGTATCCACAAATAACACATACACATCATCATCATTGTCCTTCATGTATGATTAGACATCACCTAGGTCTCGCATTCGATTCCTCCACACCGCTCAGTTGGTGCAACTCTCTTGATTTCTGATATGGAGCTCAGCATTTTTAGCTTCTCGTAATAATGTTCTTTTTAATGTTTCCCTTGGACGTTCTATTTTTCTCAGACTGTTTCCCATTTTAGTGTTTGTTTTGTAATTCTTTCCTTATTTGATCTCACAGTGTGCCCAATAAATTCCTCCTTTGTCTTAATACAGTCGATACAGGTTTTTGTCAAGACATTTCTCTGATCTCCCTTTTTTTTTCTAATTCATCCTATTTTATGTTTACTTGTCGCAGATATTTATTTTCAAATAAATTTAATTTTTGTTTCGTGTCTTTGGTAATTCTCAAGCTTTTGCTGGCATAGGTTAGAATTAAAGATTCGTACTTTGGTCTCAGAGCTGTATAACTTGGAGCTATATACCTATATATTTGTATATTCAGGTCACTGAAGGAACAGAACAGACGACTCCGGGAGAAATGTGAAAAGTCAGACAGGTTCTTGAGAGATGCAGAAGATGAGCTGGAGAAGGTGAAGAAGAAAATGAAAAAGTATCGAGAACTGGTTGAGGATAAAGAGTTGCTGGAAAGAGATGATCTGAGTCGTAGAATTGCAAAAGTGGAACTGGAAATGGAGGAGAAGGAGATTAAAATTAAGGTAGTGTTGTTTACACTACATTGTATAGTTATTATTTTTTTTTTTACTTAGAGACATTATTTGCCATAATTTATGATTATTTTCTAGTTATCACGAGATATTCACCTGCCAACCATGAGGTCTTGAGTTTTTTCGAAACTGAACTTTGCTTCCAGGTCAGTCCAGACTTGAAATAGGTACCAGGTGATGTTTCTGTGAAGCAGAGGCAGCTGCCGTAATGGTAAGCACATCACCTACTGAGTCCTGATTGGTCTTTAAAAAAACGAGTTAGCCATCTTATGCTTGATGTCGCAGGTTTGAAAAGGTACCTTGACTTGCTTTAGTTCTAGTTATAAACAAAAATACTCATGTGCTATCTATTAACTGCTTCGCCCTTTGGAAAAATACTCTGGTTCACAGGAAAACGTTGAATATAGTCCTGACTCCAGCTTGTCGAACCAGTCTCTGAGAAAGAAAGGTGGTGATATGGAAAAAAGTAGTAATTCTTTCTTATAATTAACTGTACATTGTAGTGTAAATAAATTCTCATTCTCTTTCAAAGAATAACTTTTACATTTGTTGTGTATGTAATTTTATTTGTTTTCAGTATTGAAGATCTTCTTTTTAGCTTCCATCCCCTTCTGGACTTAGCTCTTGTTCCAGCACTTGAGTTTTGCTTGCACAGTTGTTTTACAGACCTCGCTTATGTGTATGCAGAATGTTGATTTCTTGCCTCTCAGCTGATACATTCAGACCTAAATGAAACACCCCTAAGTTGCCTTGTAGGACATGATTGTTGGGGGCAGCGGGTCTGTCTTTTTTCCCTAAAAAACTGGGCCCCAGGACCCACAGTGGGGAAAAAGGCAAATAGAAACTATTCCATGTTTTATTATTTCCTATAAAACATTGCAGAACCAACACCAGCATTTTTTTTGCAATTGCTTTGTGGTTTTTTTTAGACGGTTTGACTGTTAGAAGTTTGATGTTGCTTTCTGAACAGTCAGCGTTACATGCATTGTTGACGTTGACACAGACTGGTCTGCTGCCAGATCACCTGAGTTCAACTGGACTGGGTATTTTAGAATTACAAACTTTGTTCTGTGTCTAAGCCTCAGACACTTAGAGCTTATTGGTTTTTAATTGTTTGTTTCAGAAGTTTGAGAGAGTACATAGACATTATTTCAGTTTTTGTTTGTTTCAAGTTGAAATTGATTAAAATTAATTGTTATTGCAGCTGATGATATACAGTGAAATATGCCAGACAATAAATTGAGCAAATCTATTGTTTGTGTCTTTTTTTTGTGTTGAAATTTGCGATAAGGAAACATTGCTTTGGTTTGCTTATTTTTTTTTAAGGAGTTTGAAAGGCACATAGAAATATTGAAGAAGAACCACAAGCATGAAATAGGAATTGAAATAGCCAGACAGAAAGATTTAAAGAAACAGCTTGAAGAACTTAAAAAGAGGAACTCACAACTGGAGCATCAGCTAAAGGTATTATTAGGTAGAAGCATATCAGTGGCATTTGGTTGTGATTCTGACATTTTAATGTTTAATTTTGGCTTTTGTATCCTTGTAAAAAAGATGACTTGTGATTGGCTAACTGCTAAAAATAGGAATTGAGAGCAGTGGTAGCATAACAGTCGGCATACTTGCATGGGGATCTTGTATTTGATCCCCTTTGATGTGGGAATTTTTCAACTGATTTGTCCCTGTGCCAGCAAGAACCACACAGAATGCCCATCGCTGTCACTTGTAAAATTCTTCTTCTTCGCATTCACCAGCTGTACACTTCTGCAGAAAGTTCTGGTTGTTTGTCCACTTCTAGACTCTAGTCCTGTCCTGGAATCTAAGTGTTGCGTGCAAATTCGTTTTACAGATCTGACTCATTTGTTTGCAGACTTTTGATTCCTCGCCTCTCAAGCAGAGGCACTCTGACTTTGAAGGAAGCTGCTAATATGTTGACTCTTACGACATACTTTTGGGTAAACAGTAGGTCTATTCTGCACATGCATTAAAGGCAGCCATCAGAAGTGCCAGCACAAACAGTCTGCCACTAGAATTGCAGTTCATCTTTGATTGAAGCAGTAATAATAATAGATAGGCAGTGGCACATGCAATATCACATACAGTACAATCAGTTCTGTGGCAACAGGCCACTCCCCATTTTCTGAATCTGCAAAACACAATTTTGTCACCTGAAGGTCTTGACAAACATTGCTGTCATCAGAGCCCATCTCCCGCCTCCCCCATGCACTTTCTTGCCCAGGTTGTCTCCTGTGTACTATGCTGACTTTCATGCTAGCTGGTCTCTTCCATTTTTCCCCCTGTACCATTCCCTTTATCACTGTTCTTTTCAAGCCATTTCAACACTTTATACATTCATTATCCTATTTTGCCATTATATGTCACATAGGGCTCACAGTCTGTTTCTCTGTTCCATGCAGTCTGTTCAATATCATGAATTGAATCCAGTCCAGCAGCTTAGGCCTCTCTCATCAACGTTCATCTTAGGGTTTCTCTTGGGCATCCTTGCCTCCCTAAGCCCTTTATTTCCCATTTTAATGCCTGTTTGATGATTCTCTGCTGGTTTCTTCTCATAATGTGTCCAATGTCGTGCCATCTTCTCTGTCTAATAACTGCTGATACTGGTGGCTACCCAGACATTTTTTTTTTTAAATTTCTACACTTCTTTTGAATTCATCCCACTTTATTATCATCATTTTCCTCAGTCGTTTAATTTCAAATGCATTTAACTTTCATTCCATGTCTTTGGCGGTTCTCAAACTTTCACTTGTGCACATGGTTACTATAATTTAAGCATTAGTGGAGGCTCCAACATCCCAGCAGACGAGCCGCCCCATAAGTACTCCGTTCCTGTGCCAATGGAAACCACACAAAATGTTCTTCACTGCCCCATTTAACTCTTTGAGTCCCAGGGGGTTTAGCATCAGAGGCAACAGGGGTAGTCAAAAGAGACGTAAAATCAGCGCATCATGCGTTAATTAGGCTTCTAGTTAGGAACCTATGAACGTATGATATGTTCCTTGGGATTCAAAGAGTTAAAAACTAGTAAAAAGCTTGTCAGTCCCAACAACATTTTGAAACAAAAAGTAAAAATACATAAGCCAGATGTCAGATGTCCTGACACTAACAGTCTTACACCAGAAATGCAGCTTGCTTTTGGCACACATAGTGAATCATGAAAGCCGGCATTGCATCCATACAGGTACACACCAATCTGTAACGTAGTCGACCACCCGCTATTTTAGTGCAGTCACTAACACAGCAGGGGGAAAAACATTCCACATGAAAACCACAGTTCATTGTCATCCAAGCACCCAACTGGGTGATGGAACCTTTGAACTCCCAGTTCAGAAATGGGGAATTGCATCAGAAAAACATAGCAAGAGACAAATAACTTTTCAGAGCATAAGTGGTCCGCCTGCAATTAGCCAATATGAAAGTTTTGAACCAAATCATTTTACAGATTTTCAAAAATATATTAGCATTTGAGTGAGTGAAGTTGTACTCCACTAGGACTGCACACTGAGCTATTAACACACTACAACACAAAGTGCAGTGTCTTGTTGTTCGGATGAGAATCCATAGTTTTCAAATCCCATAAACTGTATTCAGCCGCAAGATTATGGTGGGGCCCCAGACACTTACTAAGAAACCAATATCCAGATGTGGGGATAAGTATTATATCTTAGTATGGGACATTCTGTTTATTTCCCTATTTAAATATAGTATATTCGGTTTATTTCCCTATTTTTCTTCTTCTTCTTCACGTTCACCAGCTGTACACTCTGGCGTGAAGTTCTCGTTGTTCGTCCACTTCTGGACCTCAGTCATGCTCCAGAACCTGAGTGTTGCGTGTGCATCAGTTTTACAGATCTGATTCAATTGAATGCAGACTGCTGGTTCCTTGCCTCTCAGTCAGATGCACTCTGACTTCAAAGGAAGCTCCCCAGTTAGTCGACTCTTATGACATGCTTTTGGGGAGGCAGTGGGTCTATTCTTGTTTTCTCTACAATAGAGCCCCGGAACCCACACGGGGGATTTCCCTATTTGAATATAGTATATTCTGTTTATTTCCCTATTTGAGTAAAGGATATTCTGTTTATATCCCTATTTGAGTATAAGATACTCTGTTCATTTCCCTATTTGAGTATAGTATATTCTGTTTATTTCCCCATTTGAGTATAGGATTTTTTTGAGCATTTCCCCATTTGAGTATAGTATATTCTGTTTATTTCCCTATTTGAGTATAGTTTTTTTTTTGTTTATTTCCCTATTTGAGCAGAGTATATTCTGTTTATTTCCCTATTTGATTATAGTATATTCTGTTTATTTCTCTATTTAAGGATGGGATATTCTTTTAATTTCCTTATTTAAGTACAGTATGTTCTGTTTATTTCCCAGGAAAAAGAAAGGGCACTTGGTTATCAAAATTTGCATAACCTTCATAAGGGGAAGTCATCAAGGAGTAATTCACCAAACGGAAGTTTGGCCAGGAGAATTGACCGAAAGGCAGCATCCATGACAGAGCTATCTCTGCGAGAGAAGGCCAAATTTTATTCGGAGAGACAGCAAGCAGATCTACAAAAACAACAAGAAGTAGGTTTCATCATCGCCATGATCCTGTTAGCCATTGTCCGATACACAGACTCACAGTTTGGTCATCCGTCCCATTCTACCCGGTGCAATCCTTTTGATATCATGGATAGAAACTTCTTCTTCACGTTCATTGTTTATTTAAAGATCATCTTCACCGTGACCATAAGTGCTCCGATCTCCTCCTGAACATGTCTCCAAGTGTTTTAGGCAGTGACTCCCATTCTGCTCTGGTTGATATAACGACGGGTGGCTCCTGCATTGTTTTCCTGTCTGGCTGCTCCAATTGATACACCTTTAGTATGCAGTCTATTCAGTCAAAAATCATTTTCCACAACTTGAAGCCTCACAGCGTTTAGTCTCTCATATTGCATTGATGTCTTCCCTGTTCCATTCTTGACAGTCATACTGCCAACCAGGGCATTTGCTCTCTCATTGCCTTTCATATCAACATGACCTGGGACATGCCAGCTGTAAACTGCGATAGAAAGTTCTGATTGTTCGTCCACTTCTGGCTTTTAGTCTTGTTCCGGAACTTGAGTTTTGCATGCAGATCTGGTTTCTTTGTAAGCAGACTGTTGGTTGCTTTCTTTGGTGTTTGCTCTGCCTGTCTGTTCGGCCAAATTCTGTATCTAGGTCTTTCTTTGGAGTTTGTGCAGCCTGTCTGTCTGTCAAATTCTGTATCCACGTCTTTCTTTGGTGTTTGCGCTTCCTGTCTGTTCAGCCAAATTCTGTGTCCAGTACTTTCTTAGTCTGCCTCTTCTCTTTCTCCCTGCAGAATTATTTTGGTGGGCCCAGTCGATGTTGTTACTTGTAAACACCATCACATATTCCTTATTGTTAGTGATGTTAATGATGTAAATGTCAAAGTACCTTTACACATCACTGGCGCATCGGGCATATGAGGTAGGTAATTAGGTGCTTTCCTGGGGGGAAAAACACGTGTCACATACAACCAGCTACCCCAAAGAGGGAGCTTTAGGTTATAATTGTGACTAGGTTATGTCTGCCATATAAAATGGCTTAACACTGCACGCTGCCAAGTACTCCTGCAGTGTTGGTGCAATCAAAGAAGACAGACTCAAATACTGTTCTGACGGGCAATAAAGTCGTTTAGCGACGAGCCAATTAGCGACTGATGGGCATATGATGCTAGAGATATATTTTGATAGATTAAGTGGTCCTCGATGGATGGTATGGTCAACATCACGAAGGCTGCATTTACTTCCTAGGACTTTACCTGCTATCCATTAAAGGCTTGGAGCCAAGGTCATGTTCGAAGAGTCTGGCACCATGAATATTTGAACCCATGACCTTCGTATCCGCATGCAAGGATCTAGCCGCTTCACCACAGTGGCACTCTTGTTAACGATATACCTATTACAGTTGAGTCTGGATAAGCAGAAGTCGCAGGGACCTAAGAAAATGCTTCCACTTATCAGGGCTTCTACTTATCCAGACAGCACACACAATAGAGAAAATTGCCGGGACTAAGCTGGTCATGTCGACTTAACCTAAATTCGACTTATCCGAGTTCAACAAGTGGACTCGATTGTATTAACTTTGTTTATTCCATCTGAAGTAGTGTTTTAAACGTTTATTTATCCTTGCTTCTTGTATCCATGTTTTACTGTGTCTGTTCATCTATTAATTCCTTATTTGTAAAGCTTGCAACATGTTTGTGATGTTTATTTTGAACTCATTCCCTTCTAGTTTAGTTTTATTTTCTGGTTGACAAAATCCACTACTATTCTTATTTCAGTTAAAAGAATCAAAGAAAGGAAAGAAACTTCAAAAACAGAAAGCAAAAGGGAGGAATACAGCACAGATGCGTCCTCCAGAGTTTCCATTTCAGAGCACCAGTGGCATACTTGTGGACTCAGGTGATCAACGGGACAAGGAGAGACAAAGTGTAGTCATGGAAACCACACAGAGGACAGGAAAGGTGAGCCTGCACAAGTAGGACAGTATCAGCTTACCTACAGTCTTGACAAAAATTAATAAACATGTTCATTTGTTTATGTCCCAGTCTGAATTCCGTGGGGGAAAAGATTATACCCACTGCATCCCCACCCCCAAACTTGTCGTAAAGGGCAATAAATTAAAGGCAATTCCTTTGAAGTCAGAGTACATCTGTCTGGTCTGCATAAAAACAAGCCAAATCTGTCAAATAGATCTGCACACAAAATTGAAGTTCTGAAGCAAGACTTAAGTCCAGAAAAGGATGAACAACCAGGGCTATCTTCCGAATAACGGTCCCAAATTATAGAGGCAGAAAATATACCCTAACAGAGCCTCAGTCACATATAAATTGTGGACTTCCGCCACTGCAGAGGTATCTCCCACGCCGCACATAGCAGCATGAAGTGGGGCTAAACTAGATGGCCGGGACTCACGAGCAAATAACATGAAGGAAGCTGCAGGAGATGCGGTAGCTGCTGCTCGTGAGTCCTAGCCATCTTGTTTAGCCCCAATCCACGCCACGCGTAGGGGTGTGGGAGATACTCTCAGCGGTGGCGGCAGTCGCCGGAAGTGCACAATTTAAGTCGCCGGAGGTCCGCAATTTACATGTGACTGAGGCGCCTGTTAGGGTATATTTTTGGCCTCGATAATTTGGGACCGTTATTCGGACATTTGAAGTTAACAGTGGGTGAACACTAAGGAGAGAACAGGTGATTGTAAAGAATCACTTTCATTATATATAGGTTTCTTAAGTGGTTTAGTATTTCCACCCCTAGATCACATAAAGCCAGCATGCATGAACTCTGTAGCATTGTCAATGAACTGGTTTCATAACTGGTTCTTCCTTATTCATTTCAGACTGAAAAAAATGATTTGCATGTCATTGTGGCTAAGGGGTGTGCGTAGTATCATAATCTCTACACATGGAGGTTTGAAAACAGCTGCAGGTGATTTCACAGCAGACCACTTTGAATGGACTTTGACAACTGAATAAGTATTGACCTATTCAGAAAGCAGTGACAACTATTTTAACGTTAAATTGCTGACTAGAACTACATAGCAGACTATGGAGTTGATCTGTGAAGTTTTCAGAAGGATGTGCAACCAACTTTTATACATATCTTCTTTTCTCAGATCTTCTTCTGCCTTTCAATGTCAGGTATTGAAGAGGCATCGTCGGATGAGAGCCTTGGTGTGTGCTACATAGCTGCTGGTATTTACAGCGTCGGATATTCCATGTCCATTGCCTGCTTCCATTGTATCTGACAGGGCTCTCTGTGGTACACTATCATGTTGTAGTCTTGACATATACTCGTACCATTTGCTTTGCTGTGTCCTGATGCAGGGTAGCACAGGTTCTGTCCCATCCTGTTTCCTGATATCATCATTTCTTATCCTGTCATTTCTAGTTACATATAGGATTCATCATAGACATTTCATTTCTGTTGTTTAGACAAAATTTATTTAATTGTTTACTTTTGTTGTTAATGTCCTGGTGATACAATATCTTTATCTTCTTCTTCTCTTGTACTTTTCTGTCTTCCGACATCTGGTGTGAGCCTCTGTGTGTGCTACGTAGATGTTGGTATTTATGGCCTCACTTTATCCATATACATAACTTGCATGGTCGACCTTTGGCTTTGCTTTCATTGCGTAAAAATGGCAGATCTCTGCGATGCCGTATTTGGTGGTGGTCTTGACACATGACCGAACCATTTGACCTGTTATTTTTTGGTATAGTTTAGAACTGGTTCCATCCCAACATGTTTCCTGATATTCTAATTTTTGATCCTGTCTCTTCTAGTTTCATTTAGGAATTGTCGTAGACATTTCATTTCTGTTACTTGGGTGTTTCGCTGCTAACAAGCTTGGTAACACACTGTTGGTAAAATATTGTACTGAACACTACTCATTTGGTGCCAGTTATTAAATGTTTGTTTTGCAATATTGGTGAAATCTGTCAGAAGATTACAGCCTATTTATCAACAAATAAATATCTTGATTTGTTTGCATCTGTCATAAGGGTGCACATAAGTAAATGGATGGACCAAAACTGTCAATTACTGCCTTAATTTACCACTTTTGTGGTGTGTGGGGGGTCTTTGAGCCTGAGTATTTACGGCCACATGGCTAAAGCTGTTGCCACAACTGTGCAAGTGAGGATTTTATTTAGCCCCTGACAGAAAAAATCTTCAGCCTTACCGAGGACTTGAACCCGGGTCTCCAGCTTGAGAGCCCAGCGCTCTAACTATTTGGCCAACCGCTTCTCAATGGATGGGCAAATGACTCATATTTTTGTGGTGAATGAAATGTCCTTAATTTTCTGTATTTATCCCCAGGAGTTGGATACGGAAAGAGAGCAACAAGATGCAGATAAACAAGTGAAATATGGTATCACCAAGGACAAAGTGACAACAGGAAGTTTGCAAGATCAAGAACCTAGAAGAATAAAAAGAGACAGGCTAGAATCTGAAAGAAGTGACACTGGAGAAATGCAGGAGACATCTTTGTTTGAGACGACGGAAAAGAGAAAAGGGAAGACACAAGAGAATAAGGAGAAAGTAGAGAGTGATCTAGTCCTTCAGGCCGAACGAAAGAGAAAGGATGATCTGCTGAAGAGGCTCAAGGCCTTAGACGAAGCGAACATCACAACTCCTGGAACTGTGGCTCCAGCAGCACCATTCAAGAGTCACCAAGACAAACCTCAAGGGCTGGATGTTTTTGATGAACTGTCATTTACCACAACCACCAGAAGTCTTCAAATGTTTTCACTGGAGGGGACTAACACAGCCCAAGGGAAGACGTTGGAAAAAAGGTAGCGTAGACTACCAGCCTTCAACTGGTCCTACAAGAGGGCACATTCATAATCCCAACAGTAAACCTCCAGTTATTTTTGACGACAATAAACCTTTTCTCAAAATGTTAAGTAATAGTTCTTCAAACACAACCACACGGCAAAATGAAAAAAAATCCAATCTTCTCGAAAGCTTGTTTGGTCAACAAGGAGACTCTCCATCATCAAACAGATTTGGAGCAGAGAACGATGCATTCCCACCAACAAAACCATTGTCCGTGAGAAAGATGGATGAAGAAAATGACCCATTATTTAGCACGACACCACTTTTTTCAAATAATCAGACAAGAAAAACTCATTCAACTTTTCCATGGGGAGAAAACACAACCACAACAAACATGTCTGTTTTTGATTCCAACAAACAGTCTGTCATTTTGGGTAGTGGTCCTGGATCTGTCAGCGATCTTTCACAAAGTCAAGGAAATATTCAACCTCAGCGAAGACAGCAAAAATCAAAATTCTTTTCTGCCAAACCTTCGGTGACAGCCATTGACAATTTTGATGATGAAATTGAGGAAGTTGCACTATAACAACCACGAATATATTTAATGTTTCTTCTTTAGCCTTTCTCCTTAAAAGGGCAGTTGGCACATAGTGTTGTGGTTTACAGCTAAGCTGTGATATCTGCTCCTTTCGGCCCGACCCAATCAGTTTCATGGAATTACTTATTAGCCACCTTTTACGGCAAGTTTGTTGGGGGGGAGGGGGGGGTCAAAAACCCACACAGGAAATAATAAATGCTATTTCTAAGATCACCTCATTAATTTCATGTGTCTGCTTTTTAAAAATAGAAATTTGAGGTAATTAAATGATCAGTGCAGAGGAAAACTATGTACATACTATTATATCTGCTTATTCCGTGCATTTGCAACCATCATATTTACCAAGAGGGAATGAATTTTGACTTCTTGTTTCCATTTGGCAAGCTGTAGCTTTGTGTACATTTGAGTTTAACTGTGCGGTAAACATTTGGCAAGCTGTAGCTTGTGTACGTTTGAGTTTAACTGTGCAGTAAACATTTGGCAAGCTGTAGCTTTGCGTACATTTGAGATTAACTGTGTGGTAAACATTTGGCAAGCTGTAGCTTTGTGTACATTTGAGATTAACTGTGTGGTAAACATTTGACAAGCTGTAGCTTTGTGTACATTGTAACTGTGTGGTAAACATTTGGCAAGCTGTAACTTGTGTACGTTTGAGTTTAACTGTGCGGTAAAGTAAGCACAGGGCCTGGCCATGACAGTGACCCCTCTGGCGTATGATGTAAGACATTACCTAGTACCTATTATAGGCTGGGTTGACCCGGGAGCCTAGGTAATTTTTTAAAAACAAATTCAGATCGATGCAGATTTGAACCCATAATCTTTAGGCTGGCAAGTGAACTGTTTTGCGTCTCTCTTTGTGATAAATTATGCCTGTTGATAGTTTTGTTGTTTTCTGTCTAACTGATGTTGTAAGGATGCAGGATTTGACTACCAGGTGTCTGATTTCCAGTCGTTGATGCCTGTTTGTTGTTTATGGACATCCTTTGTTTGTTCCGGAGTATTTAGCTCAGATAGTTAGTTAGTTGATCTTTCCTCTTGAGCCTGGGGTGGCGCATAGGGCAGAGGTCATAGCTCTCCATGTCAGTCGGTTCGTTGCCACCAGTTTTAGGTCTTAGATGTTCATTATTAGGCTGATGGTTGAGCCTTCCCTGATGACGGTTCTACGCGGGGTATCTCTTGGTCTTCTCTGTTTTCTTGTCCCTTCTGGTCCATATGAGGGCTTGATGGAGGAATATGGTCTTACACATTCTGAGTGCATGACCGATGTAGTTCCAGCGGTGCTTTCTTATAAAACTGGATACATTATCTAGCTTATTAGCTGTTGTCTCCTGTCTTATTAGCTAGTTGCTCATTGTCAACTAGGTCTTCAGCCCTGACTGGCAGCTGGTCTGCAAGGGAAGCTTCAAGAGGTGGACAGAGACCTGCTCTTCTGACCCAGCAGCTTCTGCAGCATGCTTTGTTCTAAAAAATATTGGTGACGCCTTTCCTTTCGAGTCAACAAAGCAGGCGGAGAGATTATGCTGCAGGTTTTTATAAAATATTTTTTCCTTAACTTACAGCCATCCATATTTATAACCACTAAGAAAAAAAAAAAGTTAAATAAAGAATAATAATTACATTAGTGAGGTCAAAAAGGTCCAGGAACTGTGTACATATCATGTATTTTCATACTGTATAATTATACATATACAGACTGAATTTTTGTGTTTTATGTACAATTTGTGTAACCTGTTTGAATGAAACTAGTGTTGGAAAATATTGATTTCAACTTATGGCCTGTTAGAGCAGAACTTGGTCGTACCCCAACCCCTTGCTGAGAAACAGATCGCACACACTTTTATCAGAAGCCATATTACAATTACACCAGCATATAAACAAAATATGCAATAATAAATAACTTCAATTTAATGAGAACAAAACAATTATAAAAAGTTAGAACAAAAAAACGTTATAATGCAACTTCCCGTGAAGGTCAGGGAATTCCATTTTAGAAGGGGAGGGGGGAGAGAACACACGAAAAGCCCCACCCCTGCCCCCTCCAACAACTAGTATGTCATAAAGAGCGACTAATAACGCATTTGCTGAATGAAATCATGTGTGTTGGGCAGAAAGGTGTGGATATTGCAGCCTATCTGTAAACCACAACACAACGAGCCAACCACCCTTTTAAGGGTGAACACAGAAGCAGAAAAGAACCAATATTACAAAAACAAGCAGGTACAAAAATACAGCAGAAATAAATAACTTCAGTTTAACAACAACTTCAACCTTAAAATGCAATAATAATAAACTGTCACTACCAACCCCAGAATCTGTTTGCTGCTTTGGTTTTACTAGTCAATTTTACATTCAGTATTTTGCCATTGCTTTCCTAAATAATCGGCTCTCGATATTTCCTCTGTCAAAATTCACCTGCTCCCAGGTGGACATGTCCTGTGAAGCAAAGGCACCTAACATAAGAGTGACCACATCACCTGCCAAGCACCAGCTTCTTCTCCAGTCATGTTCTGCCTTTCAGCATCAGGTTTTGAAGAGACATCGGGTACAAGCCTTGGTATGTGCTACGCAGATGCTGGTATTTACTGCCTCAGATATTCCATCTATCCATTGTTTGTGTGGTAGACTTTTAGGTCTGAGTGATGTAACAGGGCTCTCAGTAATGGACAGAATGGCTGGCTCTGCACAACTTGGTGGAATACTGATACATGATAAGGCAGACGTGGTTAGTGCCTTGTGGGAGAGCGTGTACAGTTCGGAGGAGCAGATGGATCACCACAGTCTGGCAGATGCCCGAGGCTCAGAGGAAAAGGCAAGACGGACGTTTAATCAGAATGCTACTGGCACCATTAGTATCGGAACTCTTTGTTGGCTGCTGAAGATGGGGACGGTGCACTTATGGGAATGCCCCGAGTGTTGTGATGTCGGTTCTTGAATCAAATCAAATCAGTAATGCACTATCTGGTGGCAATCTCAAAACATGTCGAACCATTTTATCTGGTGTCATCTGGTCTAGCATGATATACCCTGTATGCCACGTGTGAAGAAAGGGTCCTTTTCCTCAACACACACACAAACTTTATAACATAATGTCTGATGTAATAGATCCAGTGGTGTTTTGGCCTGGTCCTTTTATCACCAAGAATGCAGAGATACACCCCAGTATTTATTAGATGTTTTGTTCCATATCAAGCATTCTTCTTCTTCTGCAGGCGTCCTGAAAAGGGCAATGGTATGCTGTTGTGTGGTTCACAGCCGGGCTGTGATATCTGCAGCTTTCAGCCCCACATATCAGATTTCAGCAAACCCCTAATTAATTGCCTTTGACAACACTGACACAGAGCTTAGGGAGAGAACTTCCAGGGAATCAAGGTGCGGGGTAAAGAAACTGCAAGAGGTAGAGTGAGAAAACACTAGACAAGATGAACAAATGGCAATGGAAACAATTAGTAATCAAAGTTTATCAAGATCACAGAGATTATGAAATAATGTTATTACCCTCCCTGTGTGGGTTTCGGCGGCCCCCATTTTGGAGGAAAACAAGAACAGACACACTGCCCCCCTCAACAGATAGGCAAGATCTGGATGTAGAAGTGAATGAACGACGAGAACATTTCACTGGAGTTTACAGTCGGTGAATGCCAACAAAAAGATGTGATCACCCATGGTACTCAGTACGGCACGTGACGATGATGGCGATGTCATTATAAAAAAATATCGCTGCCCAGCAAATTAAGAAGTGAAGAAGAAAACACTGCCACTGGACATGACACACACCGAGAAAGCCTGATAGTACAACTAGATGTCTTTCTACTGGGACTCACTGTTAGGCAAAAATAGAAGGCCTGAATACTAATAGAGAATTAAAAATTAGAGATTAATAACATGCAGGAGTAGCAAAAGACAGAACTTGGCATGTGTTTATAGAGGGTCTATTCTCCAATGGGGGAATAAATGGCATAATGCTGTGTTTGGAGCCAGGACTAGAAATACTGTATGATTATATGCTGCTCCCCAGATGTTTCAAATGATCTGTCTATAATATGAGGAGCATTCATTTGAAACCTGTTCCAATGGCTTTACAACAAAAGCATGAAAGAAACATCAAAAAGTGTGGCAAAATTAAACAAACCATTCATTTTGAATAAATTATGTACATAAGAAAAAGTTGCTATGGGCATTCAGGCAAGCATCTCATACTTAGGTAGGCAGCAAATGCCACCTGCAAAAAAAGGTTTGTTCTCAATGGTCAGAAACAGACCCTGTGCATTATGGGACAGTTTTAAACATGTGCTCTCATTCAATGGTCAGTACGTATCCAGAGATCTCCTCCTGCCCGACACTGCAAGGCAGGAGTAGAGAAAACAAGAAGAGTACTTACTTATCACATGATTATGAGGCAATCGTGTTTCACGGCAAGCAATTACGTGTAATGTGACATGAACAGGTTTCAAAGCAAGCAATTATGTGCACAGTGACATAAACGGGTTTCAACTGAAGGCTCCTAATACTACAGAACCAAGTGCTGATGATCTTTCTCGCCATGCCTGTCAACCCATCCAGCATTTTCTCCATCTCTCTCTCTCTCTCTCTCTCTGACAGTCTCAGTCATCCAGGCCGTCACTAGTCAGCCGATACCTCTGTCTACAGTCCGGCCACAGACTTGACTCTGTAAATGACTGAATAAGATACCAAAAGCCAGCAGCCCAAACCTACTGCACCTGTGGAGACAGAAACATTAACACTGTTTATTCACCTGTGGAAACAGAAACACTAACACTGTTTATTCACCTGTGGAGACAGAAACATTAACACTGTTTATTTACCTGTGGAGACAGAAACATTAACACTGTTTATTCACCTGTGGAGACAGAAACATTAACACTGTTTATTCACCTGTGGAGACAGAAACACTGAAACTGTTTATTCACCTGTGGAGACAGAAACACTGAAACTGTTTATTCACCTGTGGAGACAGAAACACTAAAACTGTTTATTCACCTGTGGAGACAGAAACACTAAAACTGTTTATTCACCTGTGGAGACAGAAACACTAACACTGTTTATTCACCTGTGGAGACAGAAACACTAACACTGTTTATTCACCTGTGGAGACAGAAACACTAACACTGTTTATTCACCTGTGGAGACAGAAACACTAACACTGTTTATTCACCTGTGGAGACAGAAACACTAACAGTGTTTATTCACTGTCAGATAAGATTTCAGTATTCTTTTTGTGAGACTACAGCTTCTTTCTTCTGTCCATTATTTCTGCCAGTGTTATCAGAGAAGGTCGCAGGGTTCTATGTGGTTTGTGGCGCGATGCATGCCTTTTACTGATCCATACAGCCTGGTTTCCATGCAAATGCCAATCGGCCAGACCTGAGATCTCTCTACTACAGGTAGAAAGTATGTTTTAGGACAGGTTCACAATTCTGTGGTGCCTGTCCACACGGGCAAAGTTCAGAATTCCTAGTCTAGAATTTATTGTAGACATTTCCTCAGAGCTGTGTGTCAAGTAAAGGTTAAGGTCCCTGAACATGGCAGTGGCGCATCACGCATATGGGGCCAGACAACTACTTTTATAGATCAACTGACCCTCTCTGGGTGATGTGGTTCAACACTGCAATGGCCATCTTTACTTCCAAGACTTTACCTGTTACCCATTTAAGACTAGGCAAATGGCACTGCGAGGAGTTACAAGGGGATCTGGCCGACCGGGAGGGACAAAGCGGATTTACAATCAGACTGTTACTGGTACCATTGGAATTTTAACTCTGCACTTGCTGCTGAAGATGGAGACGGAGTGCTTATGGGAGTGTCCCGAGTGCTGTGATGTCGATTCTTAATTCAACATTCGACTGGGCCAAACCAGGAACCAATGTCATGTTTGAAAAAAAAATTACACCATGCAGATTTCAACCCACGAACTTTGGATCCTCAGGTGAATGTCTAGCTGCTACACCATGATGGCCCTGTGTGTCGAGCATGCAATCTAAATATAACAGTCACCTGGTTATCTGAGACTCTAGTAGGATCAATCATTTCTATAAGAAGTACCGTCTATGAATGCGACTCTATACTTGCAGAGGTTCTTGCAAACCTGCCTAACATCCACACAATACTGAAGAATTATCAGCTGCGTTGGGATGGTTACCTAGCCCACGTGCCAGATTATTGCCTTCTAAAGAGAGTATTTTATGGCGAGCTCAAGCAAAAGAAGAGATCCAAGGGAGGACAGAAAAAGTGCTAGAAGGACACTCTCAAAACTTTTCTCCATTCTTTTAGCATCAAGACATCGATGTTGGAGGATGCTGCACAGGACCGTTCTGGATGGTGTACATCCCTCAGGCATGGTGCATCAGCCTGCCAGGCAGCGGTGGGCACAGGCAGAGAAACAGAGACAGACTAGAAAGAACGGTATTGCTAATCCCACACTCAAGAACTTTCCAGGCTCATATTGGACTAATCAGCCAACTTCGTACTCATAATTATTGATTAATACTACTCTGGATGCAAAGTGGTCTTCATCACTCATGATGGACGTACAACAAATACTTGCAGAACTTACCTGAGATTCCTGTAGGAAATGCCACAAGCGATGTAAGGGGGGAGACCCAGGATGGATCCAAACTCATCAACGGTGTATCGCTGTACATGAACATCATGGCGATGACAAGGGCAGCCTGGAACAACAAAGATGACCAAATGCATCAAAGCAGATCTTTATAACTGGCAGGACAAAATACAAAGCATTATGTTAGGGAACACGAAATACAAGTATTATGTGGGGGAACAGGCAATACAAAGTATTATGTGGGGGAACAGGCAATACAAAATATTATGTTGGGGAACAGGCAATACAAAGTATTATGTGGGGGAACAGGCAATACAAAGTATTATGTTGGGGAGCTGGCAATACAAAGTATTATGTTGGGGAACAGGCAATACAAAGTATTATGTGGGAAACAGGCAATAAAAAGTATTATGTGGGAAACAGGCAATAAAAAGTATTATGTGGGGAACAGGCAGTACAAAGAATTATGTTGGGGAACAGGCAATACAAAGTATTATGTTGGGGAACAGGCAATACAAAGTATTATGTTGGGGAACAGGCAATACAAAGTATTATGTTGGGGAACAGGCAATACAAAGTATTATGTTGGGGAACAGCCAATACAAAGTATTATGTTAGGGAACAGGCAATACAAAGTATTATGTTGGGGAACAGGCAATACAAAGTATTATGTTGGGGAACAGGCAATACAAAGTATTATGTTGGGGAACAGGCAATACAAAGTATTATGTTGGGGAGCTGGCAATACAAAGTATTATGTTGGGGAACAGGCAATACAAAGTATTATGTTGGGGAACAGGCAATACAAAGTATTATGTTGGGGAACAGGCAATACAAAGTATTATGTTGGGGAACAGGCAATACAAAGTATTATGTTGGGGAACAGGCAATACAAAGTATTATGTTGGGGAACAGGCAATACAAAGTATTATGTTAGGGAACAGGCAATACAAAGTATTATGTTGGTGAACAGGCAATACAAAGTATTATGTTGGGGAACAGGCAATACAAAGTATTATGTTGGGGAACAGGCAATACAAAGTATTATGTTGGGGAGCTGGCAATACAAAGTATTATGTTGGTGAACAGGCAATACAAAGTATTATGTTAGGGAACAGGCAATACAAAGTATTATGTTGGTGAACAGGCAATACAAAGTATTATGTTAGGGAACAGGCAATACAAAGTATTATGTTGGTGAACAGGCAATACAAAGTATTATGTTGGGGAACAGGCAATACAAAGTATTATGTTGGTGAACAGGCAATACAAAGTATTATGTTGGCGAAGAGAGGGTTTAATGCAGTCTTCTACTTCTTCGTGTTCACCGACTGTAAACTCTGGCGTAAAGTTCTGCGTGTTCGTCCATCTCCGGACTTTAGTCTTGCTCCAGAACCTGAGCATTGCGTGCACATCCTTTCACAGATCTGGCTTTTTTGTATGCACACTTGTGGTTCCTTGCCTCTGAGGCGGAGGTACTCCGACTTCAAAGGATGTCCCCAATAAGTTGACTACAACGATATGCTTGTTGGGGAGGCAGTGGGTCTTTTCTTCTTTTCCCCCCACAATGGGGTCCCTGAACTCACACTTGAATTTTAATGTAGTGATGAGGAATACAGAATACGAAATCATGAAATCAGACGAATGCTAGGAATAAAGCAAGTCTTACAGGTCATCAAAGAACAACAAATGAAGTGGTTTGGACACCTAACAAGAATGCCCTGGTACTATCCGCCACAGCGAGCCACACTAAAACGTTACAACGGGTATAGAGTGAGTGGAAGACCTCGGAAAAGATGGAGTGATGGCATTAAGAACAGCTTTACAGAAATGAACATCAGTCTTAATAGTGCTCTTGACAGAGCCCATCAACGAACATTACATCTCCCCCCCGACACTTCGATGAGGTACAAGGTGGAAGAGAAGAAGAAGAAGATGAGGAATACAAAGTGTTATTATGAGGAATTCGGAATACAAGTTGTGTTCTACTATGAAATAGCAAAAACAACATGCTAATAAGACTTTAAGATCAGAAATAAATTAAAAAATAGTGCTTTGAGATCAGAAATAATGAAGAAAAGTGAATACAGTGTTACAATTAGGAAAATAGAACATAAAACGTAATGATATAAATTTTTCAACAGGAAATCAAGAATTCACAATACTTACATGTAAAACATATATTCCAGCAGTGACCGCCAAACGTAAATAGTACACATGCTGTTTTCTTTCACTACCTGGCAAAACAGAACAATACATTAGGAAACATATTTGTAGTTTGGTTCTATTTTCCTTAACTCTTTGAATCCCAAGGAACGCATCATACGTTCATAGATTTCTACCTAGAAGCCCAATAAACGCATGATGCGCCGATTTTACGTCTCTCTTGACTACCCCTTGGGCCTGTGATGCTAAACCCCCTGGGACTCAAAGAGTTAAACAGACATGATATCTTCCTCGGAATTAGTACTGGTTACTCATCAAACAAACTTTCACATCTCCTATATTTTTCTTATGTGCATACCCACCCCTATACCCCCACTCCCATGCATGCAACAAGAGAGAGAGAGAGAGAGTTACCTCTATATACATACAGAGGTAAGGCAGCAACAACAGTAAGCAGATTAACAAAAAGAGTTGGGAGAACAGAAAGCTTACAATTAAAACAAAAACTCTTGTCTATCAGGCTTTTGTTCTCAGCACTCTGCTTTATGGCAGTGAAATCTGGTCAACACATTCGCACCAGGTGAGACGGCTAAATAGTTTTCACATGCAATGCCTAAGAAAAATACCTGCCATCAAGTGGCAGGACAAGATCACAAATACTGATGTACTGGAAAGAGCAGGTATTAAGATAGTTTTCTCAATGCTCAGTCTACGAAGGCTCAGGTGGCTGGGTCACATTAAGAGAATTGAAGGATAGCAGAGTCCGTAAGGAAATCGTCTATGGCGAAATAAAGATGGGTAGAAGATGTCGAGGCTGACCTCTACTATGATATAAAGAAGTGTGTAAACTTGTAAATTAGTTGTGTAAAATTAGTTATCCCCCTCTTCATGTTGCTTCTGTATTTATACTGTTGTTTCATGTGTAAACCTCTTACCTTTCTCTTTGATCTGTAACATCAGTTTGTCCACTTGTCTCTGTAACTTTGCATATCGGACAAATTCATCTGTAATACTCAGTTGGGCTTGTTCCTCTTTCAGGGCTTTTATTTCTTCTCTTGAATTCATTTCCTCATCAGTGACAGTGAAAAACAGCTTAGCAATCTGAAAACAGTATCAAAAATAAAAGCCAATAAGTTCATCCTTATAGAAAATAACACCAGAGGTGTACAGTTATAGGCCTTGAATGTTGCCTCACCTTCTCACGATCACATCGGGGATTCTTCTTGTGCTTCTGAATTTGTTCTTAAAAGACCCGTAGGCATGTTAGTTGTGGTTCACAGATAGGCTGCAATATCTGCATTTTGTTGGCCTAACGCATCTGATTTCAGCTAATCCTAAACTGGTGGCTTTTTATGACAGGCTTGTTAAGAGGTGACCAAACAGGCCCTGAACCATCATGGGAACATCATCTTCTATGATGATTTAAATGTTAACCATAAGATAAGACTAGCACAGAATTCAAAACTATAACCTTTGTACAATCTTTGCAGTAAGAAGCAGAACCGATTTGTGAGAAATGGCATGACAACTTATTACCAGCCATTTTAGAAAACTAACTATGCTCAATCAATAATGAACAAACCTACAAAGAGCTGGAGTTAATTGCAAGTTCTAAGCAAGAGGCTGCGTGGTCTTGGGGCATGGCGTCCACCTCGAGTGCTGGAGGTCCCGAGTTCAAGTCCTGTTGAAAGCTGCGATTTTAATTTCCCCTGGTCTATATGTAGTAAGACTGGACGCCTGTGTATATTGTTGCACATGTAAAAAAATCCTTTGGCACTTGGAAATCGAAAAAGAGTAGCCTAACAGCGCTGCCAGGGCACAATTGGGAGTTAAAAATCTACCCATAGTATTTAAGGATCCTCGCCGATGCTACGGAGTTCATGCATTGAGCTGAGATTCTTCGGACTCAGGATTGAGTTGGAAGTAGAACGGAGCACTTACTTAGGGATTACTACACTTGTGCCATGATTGATACTGATACTTCGTCTAAACTCTAAGACTAAACCTAGTTCTGAGGGGGAGGGACAAGTAGCCGTGGACGAGATACTTTTCTCCTTCAAACTATGACAACTGTTGAGTCCTGAGTGCACCATTATGAACCAGAGAGTGACAATCGAGCATTTTTGGGGAGATTTGCAGATGATAATATTAATAAAGTAATGTCATGTCTGTGGATGCAAAAGTTGAAGAAAAATATTGCAAATGTGAGATTGAATGAACTGGGAGGATGAGCAAATCTTGGCATCTAATCTTACAAAAACGCACAGACAAATATAATTACCAATGTCGTCATGATTCCTATATACGTTGGCAGGAAGGCAAAGAGCACTTCCAACAAAAACACAAAAATCATCAGGTACATTTTGTAGTCGCCGAGTAACCACGTCTGTCTTGTTTTGTCTGCTGGACGATTCTAAAAACTATAACCGGCACTTCTTCGTCGACAACGTTATCTGCTTAATTCTATCTCTACCGTTGTCTCATTTATAATTAATAATACCGTGATTAGTGATTAGAAAAGATTATCATCACAGCACTCCGGACAGATTCATAGGTGCTCCGATCTCCTCCTCAAAAGCTCCACAAGTGTAAAATGACTGATGACGCCTGTTCTGTGTTGGTTGATGAAACGTCTTGTCTCCTTAGTGGAATGTTCATTTCTTGCAGCTCCATGCTGCACCCCCATGTCCATCAGTCTAGACAGGGATATGAAGTCATATTCTTTGACGTACTCCTCGGTACGGTAAGTGCAGCGCATGGCATTGATAACATCACTTCTGTCCAGTACTGGTCCAGCCATAGCAACTGCAGTGTCAGCAAGATAGTCTGCACGCTCGTTCCCTTGAACACTCGCATTACCTGGCACAAAGATGAAGGTTAGGGAAGATATTCGTGAAATGCTTAGTGTTTCAATCAATTCTTGCCTGATAAATCCAGCTTGGAGTTTTTTAAAAGCCCAAGCCATGCTAAAGTCCACGGCCTTCTCTATTTATCTAGAGAAGGCGGTGCTAAAGCCCTTGTTATAGCCATAGTTTCAATTGCACGGTTACTAGTTAGTAGTTGTAAGTAACAGTAAAGGCGCCATTCATCTCCGTGATGGTTTACCTCCTTGAGCTTACTGTGAAGGTCCATGCACCTCGCTTGCCCCTAATTACTGACCCATCTGTGTAAACTACTGCATCACTATCATCTGTGTTTTCGTCAATCAGTGTTCTGACTAAAGTGTCAACAATGCCAGGAATCTGCTCTCTACAGCATCCATCAAGTGTGTTATGGACCATAATATTAATATTTGGAGAGGGAGGCATAATTATCCATTCATTTTTAGAATTAATGTCAGTAAGGCGGCAAACATGTTCATTGGCATCATCAGCCCGACCAATCTATGATTTGCCTCGTTTGAGTCTATTCTTTTTTGAGTGCTTGAATAATTCCTCATAAAGTGGGTGTCGATAGTCTGACTTCACTTTGAGGAAAGCAACAGCCCTGTATAGCTTGATTCTGTTTTCCACTGTGGGGAAATCCAAGAGGTATCGTATGGATTTACAGGAGGTGTTTCTAGTGCTTCCAAGAATAATACGCATTGCCTCGTTTTCAATTTTTTTTTCCCAGTCTGTTCTTCTGTATGGTGCTGATTGTCATGATGGCCAAGGCAATTTCAATGGTGGAGAGAACTAATGCACGATACAACATTACAAGTAGCCGTTGTTCAAAGTTTACAGCTCCTATAACTTTTATTGAGGAGAGACCTTTCTTGGCTCTGGCTATAATGTGGTCTTTTTAAATGCTAAGCATCTTCCATATGTTATACCCAGGTATTTCATGGAATCAGATATCTCCATATCAGCGCCACAGAGTTTTACTATCGGCATTGGTGTTTTGGAAAGGTAATTATTTAATGAGAATCATGTGACTGTCACTGTTGACGGATTAATTGTTGCCCCTGAGGTGTTGCACCAGGATGATTTGCGGTCTAATGCCTGTTGTAGATCCGAAACAATGTCATCTCTGTTCCTCCCTGTCGGTAAACGAGGATGTCATCCGCATTTGACATAGTTTTTCCTCTGCCACTCAGTTGTTTTTCTGTGATCTTGACTGTGTAAATTTTGAAGAGGATAGGAGACAATGGAGAACCCTGTGGCAAACCAGGGTATATTGTTATCGGCTCAGAAGACCAACTACAACATCGAAGCATGACCTTCCTCTGGAAAAGTGCGGCAGATATCCATCGAATAATGCCGTGTTTTGCTGAAAATGACGCCTAACCTAAGAATAATTCCTAGCGTGATTTTTCAGTATGCTAGCAATATAAGCTCTACTCTAAATATAAGCTCTAGTAGAGACTGTCAGACAGACGGATGGATTTCTTTTCTCTGTTGAAATGCACGCCAGACATTGTCTTTACAGAAGTAACAAGTAATGAAGGGACACAGGCTTTAAATGTTGACATGTGTGGCCTTTTACAAATGATCATATAAATTATTATCAAGTATTTGTACATAAGGACATATAATTAAAATAAAGTAGACTGAAAATAAACCGTTAAGAGTCTTTCAGAGTAAAAATGTAAATTGGACCTAGTCTAATTATCCTGGAAACAATATATAAAAAGACGTAATATGGAACTGTGATATAGAAGCACATCGAGTTTTCCCCCCCGCTATTCTTTCGTTTAAATCCACTTGAGGCTGTATATTTTTCACTGATCTGGACTTCCAGGTCGATTTAGTCTAAAATTGGTGCTGGGAATTTTCATGGGAAGTAAAAGAGGTTAGCGAAATATTTACAAAACCGCCCGTAAATTGTTTTTTCATCTAACAATATGGGGTTAACACCAAATAACAATTATACACAGACACAACAGATTATTAGAACATACTACAGGGCTATCCAATTGGCGGCCCGCGGGCCAAATCTGTCTGATGCTCCCCGCTCCCCTTTCTCCGTTTTTTCCCCACAATTGTGTGTGTGAGTGTGTGTGTGTGTGGGCGCCCATTCTACCACAGGATTCAGAAACCTAAACATTGAATTAGAAAAACGAAATGAGTCTTTGAAGATGTTCATATACAGAGGATTGTGGTACTGGGGTATCTGTGGATTACCTCCCTCCGAGGACAGCAGACAAAAGTGTGCTGTGTCAGTTCTTAGGGAAATATGGATTGTGTTTCTGCCTTTCCCTTTAACACGTAGCTAAGGTGGAGCTCACATTGTGCTCATTCCCCGCCACCAGATTGCTTGCTGGTTTCGCTGAGCTCTTCTTGGCTCTAAGCATGGCCTAAGCATGAGTAGTTGGATCGTCACGTCTTGAGCCCCTGTGCCTTCACGATAGTTTCCGGTATTCAGGGGGTTAGCATACTTGTTTCCACTCCTAAGACTGTTCAGCACCCCTCCGGCTCCTTTTCTCCCACAGGTGGCAGTACGGTGTTTCACAGTTTAAAAAAAAATGGAGGTTTGCTCCTCTAGATCCATTGTGTTTTGTCTGGAGATTCGCACGCCCAGTTACCAGGACTACCTCGGGGCTCTTCACCACGCACAATGGTCTTGGGGTAAGAGAGGTTATGCTAGGTCAAGAGGCTGACACCGCAATGGACGCTCCTTTCGTGAATAGATATAGAGTATTTCAGCTAATTAAAGACATAACACTTTTAAAAAACCATATCGGGGTGTAGGGGATTAAAGGCAAGACAGCAAGAAGTAGACAGCGATACAATTGGACAGATAAGATCAAGACATGGATGAACAGCAGTCTGCAAGAGTGTATAACAAAGACTAATGAGACAGAGAATGTTGGCTATCTATTGTAGTCAACCTTGGCTGGGAAAATGAGACATGTCACAACTCTAAGCTCAACCCATCCACAGTGGACACACATCAGGGACTCGTAAAATATGGTTCAACCATTTAAATGGTTCCTGGCATATGCTCCTGTTCAATTCGCACCCGAAGAGTGGCTCACACAATGATTATAATTAGGCTCACTTTCTTTCGCTACCCTAAAAAGAGTAGCCTGAAGGCAAAATTTGGAGTTAATAATCTACGCCAAAGTATTTTAGGATCCTCGCCAGTGCAACGGTGTTCGTGCACTGCGCTGAGAATCTTGTGTTAGAAGTAGAATTGAGCACGTATGGGTTTACACCCTTGTGCCATGATATTGATCCATTTAATAAACCAAACCCTACCCTTTATCCTAAATTAGAGTGTACGCAATGAACTAGCTGAACACAACATGTAAACATCTTTAGCAATCTTTTAAGGTCATCCTTTGACCCCTAGATTCATGACTGTATTTCTCTTTAGATATTATCTGTTTTAAGGTCTCCCGATATCTCTTACACTTTTTGGGTTCCATCGAAAGGGCATTTAAAAACCATCATCAGCTTTCTATGTCTATGTTTGCCCCATCCAGCCTCTGCTCCTCTCCTGATATTAGTATTCTCTTCCTCAGCCTCACATCTGTGATTTTGTCACACGATTTTATTCACCTGTTCTGTATCTGCAGTTAGAAATTGAGTCGTTCTCCACATTTCTTATTCACACCTTCTTAACAAGCATGTTGACAAATTAGGTGTTTCCCTTCAAAGTGCATCTGCCTGAGAAACAAAGAACCAACAGTTTGCATACAAATATGCCAGATCTGTAATAAAAAAAAAAATAAAAAAAAAGTGCATGCAAAACTCAGGTTGTGAAACAAGACTGATGTGGATGAACAAGCAGAACATTCCTCTGAAGTTTACAGCAGGTAAGTGTGAAGAAGATGAAGAAGAGAAGACAGGAACTGAGATCAAAGCCACATTTACATTTGTGAATGAATGTTGTGAATGAATGTGTCAGAAATTATAATAGACGTGCTAATTCTTCTTCTTCTTTGTTCACCAACTGTAAGCCCCAGCGGAAAGTCTCGGTTGTTCCTTGTTCATCCCTCACTTGGCCTTTGGCTTTGCACCAGGACCTGAAATTTGCCTGTACATGCGTTTTACTTGCTTATCTATGTGCAGCTGGTTGTTCCTTGCTACATGGGCAGATGCACTCCGACTTCAGAGGAAGTTTCCAGTTAGTCAACTCCTACGAAATGCATGTTAGGGATGCAGGGGCCTATTCTTGTTTTGTCCAAAATAGGGCCCCAGAACCCACACGGGGAATGTGCTAATTAAATTCTCATCCAACACAACTTGTTTGGTGTAAATACCAAAACGTTATTGTGAAGAAGAAACAGGGACACTGACAACGATCTATTATTACAATGTTTATTCAGTTTTCTGACATGCAGACATGGCAAAAACAAGCATTCACAAGAGGAAAACAACACAAAACTGAAACTGACCAACTCACCACATTCCTCACAAGTTACTTTTTACTTTTACT